AAAAAAAAAAAAAAACACAACAAAACTAGAACTGTATTTGTCATTATGTATTATTGTGCCTGAGACGATTGATCACCTTCAGTTTGCACTGTCTGGATGATGTAGATCCTGTTTGTGCTCAGACTCAGATTTGTACCTCCGAAAATTTCCAACTGGGGTTTTATTACAAACTCTAACATAGCGTGATGTTTGAGTGCTTGTCTGTAACAGATATTATTATTAACAGATATTATTTATTAACAGAAAATATTTAAATTTGCACTAGGTATCTATTGGATATGATTTCTTTTTGTACACCTAAATATTGGTGTGCAGTAGCCCTGAAAAGCACTGATTCATATCCACCTGAATGAGAAGATGGGTGTTATTATCAACCTGAGTGGATTTTGTTTCAGTCTGTGATGTATTATACATTATATAAATTGGATTATATAAATGAAGCCAGGATACATTTTCTCATACTTTTTAGACTTGTCTAATTATAGGTTTGTTGTGATGATTTGTGTTCTAAAGGGAGTTACAGTGAGTTACAGAAACAGAAGTATGTAAGTAGAATGTGAAAAAAATAAATTCAGGAAATTGACTTTAAGAAGTATGTTGTGATCTAACGTTAATTGGATATTGAATACAAAAACTCGGTCCAGAAGCTGTTACTGCTAATTCTGAGGAGTACTTGCAGTGTGCTTTGATCTCTGATCCTTCTTGCGAAGCTGCTACTGAACAGACAGTGCATACTGCCTCAGGTCCCAGGGCTGCTTTGTTTGGGCATTGCTGAGCTGTAGAGCCCTCGTGCAGCAGGCACAGCCTGCTAACAAGGCTGTGGGCTGCTGGTGCTTTCCTCCTTGGAGGAAAACACACACACACATTTAGTGGAAAAGGAAGATTTTCATGGCAGCTTCCACGTGGTTTCCATATGCTCTCCTGTTCTGTGAGGCGCCTCTGGCTCACGGATCTGGACAGTATCTGAGGAATCATGCTTTTGAACTCTCATTTGAATGAAGATTTTTAAGAGCTCATTAGTTCTTGAATACCATCTGTGCAGAGGAAGCATTATGCATCCCAGGCAGCAGAAATGTATTATATGCATTGTTGGGAGCTGTGGGCAGCTGTACGGTTGTTATCAGTGGTTCCTGTGGAGGTGTACTTGTGAGCATGGACTCTGGACTGCTCATGTAATTATCAGCAAATCAATACATTCCAAAGTATGTTTACTGAGTACTGTTAAATCTCTGTATATTTTAGTGTTCTTCAATGTATGTATACTTAAATATACTTAGGTTTCCTGTAATTTGTTGTACATGATATTTCCTAAACGTTGCAGTCCTTTCAGTTTTCCTCCATTTCAGTGTTGGTTGTGCATGGTTCATTTTAGCTATGCCCACTACGAATAGCAGTTGAAAATTAATGCCACACCCAAATTATTTCAGTATGCACTTATTTAAAATAGATAATGATGTTCAGGATAACGTTTTTTGATCCATCAGTTCAATCTGCCTGGGCAGAACAAAATCTTCAGGGAGTTCACAGCTGGGAAGAGACCTCAGGCAGCTGTAGGTCAGCTTCAGTTCTGTACTCCTTCAAAGCTAATGATTCATCCACATCTTGCAACCGCAACATTTTTATGACAAAAGTCTCCTCCGACTGTTTGAAAGGATGAACGACTGTTCTGCAAATTAATTAAAAGTTTGCTTCCTAATTGGGCTCCTGGACCAGATGTAATTTGGGGAAGATGCCCCCTAAAGCCCCTCAATGATTTGTCTCTGTTTTCCAGCAATTCTCACTGAAAAAAAAAAGGGGGTGCACGGTGCTCAGCAAAAACCTCAGTGAATGAAATGAGATGGCCTTTGTTCACAGCTCCTCCCCTCTGCTGCCTCCTCTGTGACAGTGCTATTGCCTTTTAGCAGTCTCTGTTCTAATCTCAAAGTGATGAAACCTTTCAAGAAATTAATTTTGGAATACTATTCCCACAATCCCCGTTTCTAGGAGCTGTATGGTGTATTCAGATTAATCAAGTAACAGTCTGAGTTGTTCATAGGAAAACTTTATGAAGAGTTGCAGCTATTCAGAATCAGCAGAAAAATCACTGTGTGCACCTGACTGTTTACTAAATATGATATAAGAGCCATATGGAAAAGAGAAGCAGCCTGTAGCATATGGAGAGGGACAGCTCTGTTATACTCCTAAGGTCGTCAATATGTAAAAGAGCATGAATGAAAGTTTCTGTTATCTGTGTCTGACTGACGCCTCACAGTCTGCTCGTCACTCTTTTTCTAATCTCCAGCAAATATGCACATAGTGAAGTTTTTGAAGCAGGCATGTTCTCTGTTTGGCAGCAGTGGATTCTATCTTTAGGTGCTTTGTTCTGCAACTTGTTTCTGCCCAGGTCTTTATATCTTCCTTTGCCCATCCTGTTTTGTTGTGTAGACATTCAGACACTTTATTTTTCCATCTTCTTTAGTGAAATACTTTCTGTTTTCTGCTCTTCCTGTGAATCTATTCTTGTCCTGCAGAAGCAGTGAACATAAACTTCAAGGGAGACTACTTACTGCCTTTTGCACCCTTATTTTGCCACAAAGGCTTGTTTGTGCTAACCTTCATCATTTGTGTTTGCTTTTACAGTGTTTGTAAAAGTTCATCATAACTGTTTATAGCAGTCCTAAACTCTGTATTAAATACATTTTCAGCAAGTAACTGTCCTGGTTTCAAGATTTCTTGTTAGGGAGTCTACGTTCAAATGCATTTTTAGACATTCTTTATCACCCTTGATACTGTTCTCTCCTGACTATTGCATGTGTTGACTACCTGAGATAAAAACAGATCTGCTTAAAATTATATTATTCTTTAAAATATTTAAACACGTATTAATCAATCTGTCATTACCACATTTAGTATTTCATACCAAACAAATGTTATTAATCTTTTTGTGTGTTTTTGCATGTTTAGCATTTGTATTCTCTAACAGAGCCATTTCTGGAAAATAAGAATAATATCCAAAACCAATATGTAATTTTATTCCAGCATACACACACAAGTCTATGCCAAACTTGAATCACATATTTAACTGTTTTGTTTCATAATTTCTGATTTATGTATTTTTCTGTATTTACTTAATTGCATTTCATTCTGTGCATGCCCTCATCCGAGCCCCATGTCATAAAGTTCATAAAGTTCATAAAGTTCATTAAGTTCATTTTCTGTATTTCTTCTATACCTTTATGCTCTTCAGGAATACACTTCTTAGCTGATTTCGTTTTACAGTTTAGGAATCACCAGCTGAGCGCTTCAGATATAATATCAGTGAAATTTGAGTGCGCAGCTGTGTTGTTTCTTTGTGTTGCGGCCTCTGCAGTGGCAGCCTGTATAAAGGCTGCAGTTGGGAAAGGTCTGTCAGCATATCTGCATTTACAACATGGATCTCTCCTGCTTGTTCTGCCTGTTCTGAAAGCTATCTACTGGGTATCTGCTCTTAAGCCTTTGCTATTGTATGCGAGTTCTAAAAACATATGGAAACTGAAGCTAACCATTTTTCTTTTGATTATTGCTAAGCAAGGAGCAAGTTTCTTCTAGCTCTTACCTTCCATAACCACGTTGTTTGGTGAGGGTTAAGTCACATAGAAAACTTGCAGGACGACTCCGTTGTTCCCTGATCCTTTCATCTCATCACAACCCTGTGCTGCACATTCCTGAGGATGTCCTCAAGGGAGGAGAGACAGAATGACTTTATAACCTCATTTCTTCAGGAATTCAGTCTTAAAATTTTGATTCCTTTTTCTGCCTCTGTGCTTTGCATGTATTGGAGCTGTGGCTTGTTTTCTTATTTGCACTGTTCTCATTCGTTGTTCTCTGTTGGTTAGGGTGTCAGGAAGATGAACAAGCAACTTTCTCATTTCTCATATTCTTTGGCTGTTCTCCCTCAGGAGTTAGAGGCTGAGACCATTGTATAACTGGAGGAGCTTTATATTTTTAGGGTTTTTTTTAATTTGTACTGAAGAGTTTTCTTTTTATTTCTTTTGCTTGATTTTTAAAATAAAATGATCTATGCCTCATGAAGACTAAAATTTTCTGGTTGTTATAAGCTGCTCCTCACACCAGTGTTGCCTGTAAACACTCTGAATCCTTTGAGACTAAAGAATGAAACTCAGTGTCGGTGAACAAATCATGTTTATTGCTTTCTAAGTGTTTACATAATGACAAAAATGAAGCCCTGGGGAATTATACTGTGAAAAGGGGCAGTTCATTTGAATTTGATTTCCACCTGAAATATAGCTACCTTTTATAGCTATTATGGGAACATAAGCTAGAAGGAAAATGCACACTGGTAAAAGGAAGGCTTGACGTTTTTTTAATACAAATAGAATTTTGTACCAAATTAATTGCTGACTCTGGCATGAAATAATCACTGAGCAGAGACTGGTATTGTGGTCACACTTGGAAAGGGTGTTTTTTTATAATTTTACTGCATTTATAATCTTGCCAATGAATGAAAACAATAATGACAATTTATCAAAATTCACTGTCCTTGCTGTAAGAACAAGGGGATACCTTGCCTATCTCCTATACCTATGCTATACCTATACCTATTCTATACCTATATATCTCCTATACCTATCTCAGCGTGAGACTGAGATTTGTAAGCTGTGCTAATGAGGATTTGCACTGCAGATCTCTCTGACAGCATTAGAAATTGTCACTAACTTAAGCTGCCCGTTTTCTTCTGTGGCCTGGATGCATATCCGTAATACCTTACACTGCCATGCAACAGTTTTTTATTTAAGTATTATGTAGTATTTATTAAGTATTATGGTAGTTAAGATTTAACTGCTGGAATGTGAGCATATCTGTGTGTGTGTTTTCAATGGATGTAATGCATGGGATTGGGCCACAGGTGCGTGCATAGCATTTTCACTGATACCCTCCTTGCAGAAGGAAAACAAGAAAATGCACAGATGCTCCAAGTGACATTGCTTTGACTGACTGTACTGTATGTCTTATTTCACAAGGTGAGCTCATGGGTTACCTGGCTGATCCTGACTGCAGGTTCAATGGAGGAGAAACGAGAAGTCTTCTCATATTTAGTACATGTGGCAAAATGCTGCTGGAATATGGGCAACTACAATGCTGTAATGGAATTTTTGGCAGGACTAAGGTATGGGCAACTCTTTGTAAATGACTTCTCAGTGATAGATGACACTGCAGCTTCCGTCAAGCAGACGTCTTTGGACAAAGGCATAAACAGAAATCTGTGGCTAAATCACATCATCTTGCCCTCTTACTTGCTAAGAATCCTTTTTTGAAAAAAATTGAACATGCTAAAAACCATTTTCTTCATTGTCATTTTCATTTTTCTTCATTTTCATTTTTCTTCATTTTCATTTTCTACATTAGAAAGCATACATTTTTAAGCAGTTTTTAAAATGTAAAGAAAGATGGCAAATTAGCTATGCTTTGTCTAAAATCTAAAATGTAACTTAGGGTTTGGAGTATCCAGAAGACAAATGAAATGTAATCATGGTAGTTTTCTAATAGAGTCAGACTGAAACTGTAAAAGAAAACCAACAAAATACACACACAAACAACGAACAGCTAAAACTGTCTTGTTAAACCCTTCAAGTTTATTTATACTGGCTAATGCTGGAATCTTGTGCTGTAATTATCCTATGTAGCCAGTCCTGCAGTGTATCCAGAAGGAAAACAGAGTGTGGGGTTGCAGTCTTTTCTGCAGAATAACAGGTGCTACCTTGACACAGATTTGCACTTCAGAGAGCAGCAAATCAGACTGGACAAGGAAGAGTTAAGATCAGATTTCCCATCAGTTAGCCCTGACCCTACCTGTATTTTGTGTTGGTGTAGCAAAGCTTTCATGTGTTGTATTGTGGCTCTTTGTGGTTTAGTGAGGATTCTTACTGAGCTAATTATTTACATTTTTTATATATAAAATACATATTAAATGCTTGTGGACAAAGGGAGTGTTTTTCAGCAGAATGCATCCATATAAGTCCCCTAGCGATGAAAGTTGTGAGGGAAAATGCAAACAAATTAAGGCCTTAATTTTTTCTGTAATGCATCTGCACAGCAGAAGGGAAGGCAACAAGTAAAGGCAAGGCTGGTGCCCAATTAGCCGTGCACTCAAGACAGGGACGGAAAGTGGGGATGAGGATGTTGAGCTGCTAGCAGTTCTACAACCCTTTTGGTGTGTCTGAAGGCAGGAGGCATAGAAAGGCCATGCCTTTGCTCAGATGTGCAGCTCAGAAGGGTGAGTGGGCTCAGCAATGCCAGCTGTCCTTCTCACCAGGAGTCATTTCTGTTTGAATTCAAAGCTTGGTCTGCAGAGTGGCACTGGTGCTTGAGAGCTGGAAGACAGCCTTGATTTATTTCCATGACAGAGTTAGAGTGTAATGGGAATAAATCAATGTAAAATATTTCAAATTGTTTGTTTCATTGTTGTTTCTTTTCATTTGCTAACTATATGGGTTATCTACTGATGAATGAATTTGTAGTAAACCATCTGGTTTATCTTCATACCGTTTTTCTTATTTTTTCTTACACCTTTTTGACTTTAAGGCAATGACAAAATGAAAATGTGGGGAATCCTGCTTGCATTTCATGGGTACCTGAGCTTTTATTAAGTTCCTAAAAATTACTGCAGCCTTGTGTAAATCATACTGCTTGTTTTTCCTTGTTACTTTTCTTATTTGGTAATTCAAAGAGATGAAACAGTCCGCGAGCCAGAGTTTTTGTAAGAATAATGACCTGAATGTGATTCATTAATTTCTGAGAAATAATAATAATAGTAATTTTCATATTTCCATAATTTCTATTACGTACATGCTGGAGGTGTTGGAATTCTCTGCAAATTGGTTTATTTATTTATTTTTAATAATTGTTGTCTTTTTTTCCACTAGGTCAAGAAAAGTTTTAAAAATGTGGCAATTTATGGACCAGTCTGACATTGAAACCATGCGGAGTCTGAAAGATGCTATGGCACAACATGAGTCCTCATCCGAGTACAGGAAAGTGGTCAACCGGGCACTCAATATTCCAGGCTGTAAAGTAGTTCCTTTCTGTGGTGTATTTTTAAAAGAGCTTTGTGAAATTTTGGATGGAGCATCAAGCCTCATCAGACTCTGCCCACAGTATAATTCCCAGGATGAGACGTTAGAGGTAAATAGGATTGCTGTTCTAAGAGGCTGTGTTCTTAGCCACCCAGTGCATTATTTTATCATCTGTTGTTTTATATGGAAGTTTCATCTAATTAGAGTTCTATAAACCAGACTGTTATCCATAGTTCAGTTACATGAACCTCAATTTAATTCCTACAGTAACTGTAGTAAGATAGATTTTGCTGTTAATAAATAGTTCAGCATAGAAGTACTGAGCAGTTATTGTCTATACCAAAGCAAAACAAATGTTTACTTCGGTAAAGGAAGTATGTAAATACTTAAACATGCAGCTGTCTTCTCCTAAATTTTCTGATCTTCTGCATAGCTTGTTGGGAACTGAAAGGTTTTCAGTTCCTTAAAGGAAGAACTCAGAAGATCAATGGACCAATCTTTTCCTTTATGAAATAAAACAATTCCTTTTTTTTCACTTTGTTTTGAAAATATGTCCCTGTTCCATGAAAACTGGGACTTTTAAAAAGTCTATAGGACTATTGAAATTTGTGCTACTTGGTTTATGCAGTGATTTAGTCTGTTTAGGTAAGCTAATGGCAAACATATGTACTAAATATTCTTAATTCTTCTAAGAATTTCTCCAAGAAGATGTAAATAACACAGTGTTCCATTACTCCTGTTACAATATTAACCTATTAGATGTCTTTAGTTTGTTTCAGATTACAGTGGACAAGATAATTTCTTGCAACGGGTAGGCCAAGATGGCTTAAATAATCCAGAAAAAGAATCCACAGCAAACAGTATATTTCAAACTATTCGGAGCTGTAATCGCAGTTTGGAATCTGAGGAGGGGGAAGATAATCTCAGTGAAGAAAGCAATTCGAGAAAAAACTCCTTGAAGGACAGAAACCGTTACCAGTAGGTCTCATGTTTTGTTTTCTATCTTTATCTGTATATTTCACAGTTTTAGTTTTAGTTTTTTGTTTCCTTTTACCAAACCTCAATTACAGGATCAGAGGCAACTTTTAACCTCTTCTCTTTCATTTACTGTCTTCCAATTCAAAACTTATTCCTCCTGGAATTGTGCTAAGTATTTGATACTCAAATGCATGAGATCTCTCTGTATAGTTATATTTTCACTCATGATGTAATTACTTCCTCTCATGATAAGGGTAAATCCTTTTCATCTTACACACAGAGCTTTAAAAATCCACGGTTATGATTACAATTTTGATCTGTGGTGCCCGGAATAGCACCAGGACATATCTGTTATCAGAGCTCAGAACATTATATTCTGCACACCAGGGCAGCGTTGTGCCCTTTTCAAAATAGAGGTTATTTATTATTGTTCATAAGACCACTTCTTTTAAGGACATGTTCACTTGAGGCTTTTAAATTATGTCCAGAAGACATTTGTAATCATTTTGCATTATGAATTTTCAGTTTGATTTAGTCCTGCTATTTTGCCTAGATGTTTTCTTGATTGTGCCCCAAGAGCACAGTGTTCAAAAACTTCCCAATTTTGACTGAACACCCAGTATAGTCTTTACTTTTCAGCAGCAAAAAATATACTAAATGGGAAGTTTAAGACATGACTTGATCTTGAGCGTTGCTTTAGTGAAATTGTAGCCCACATAGATGCTGATGTGTCAGCTTCAAATGAGGTAACTGTTAGAGAAGCAACAAACAAAACTGTGCTGTTCAGAGTCCAACTCACCTGCAATGAACAGGGACATCTACAGTTCCATCAGGTGCTCAGAGCGCCATCCAACTTGACCTTGGATGTCTCCACTGCCTCTCTGTGCAGTCTGTGCCAGTGCCTGACCATGCTTACTGTAGAAAACTTCTTCCTTATATCCAATATAAATCTCCTCTCTTTTTGTTGAAACCATTATCCCTTATCCCATCATATAAATGACACAACCCGGATTACATAAAAAACATACTTATGTCCCTACTTGAGTTATTATATTGATAATGTCTATCAGAGATATCAGTATGTTCTGAAGTATCCAACTTATTTCAGCTATTACACACAGAATCTAATAAGTGACTGCCTGAGAAGGAGCTACCCTCTTCCTGTTTAAATGCATTTATTTCATTAACATGCAATTGTAAATCTCATTTCAAATAAATAATAATTATTTCCTGCAAGAATGGTTTCTAATGGAATTATTCACATCTGGCTTTACTTCCTTCTGGGCAGTGGCGCAGTAGATGATGCCAGGAAAGGCAGTCCCACTTCTCTGTACATTTGTTATCTCTTATTTCACTTTAAACATTTTCCTCCAGGAATTATTTTTCTTAATTAATACAGTTTGAATTCAACTTGCAGGTCTCCATTCGAAGAAAGAATGAGCTAATGAAATCAACCTTTCACTTGAATACTCAAAGCAGAATTTAAATGTAGAATAACAATATGGGGAAAAATGAGTTCTTTTTGTTACGTCTTTATGAAATCAGTTTTTTTTAATTAGTTATTTATGCTTTATGTTTAAACGGAACTGCTAAGTTCTAATTCTAATTAAAGTAGAAATTAAATGCAAAGAAGTTGAGTCCAACACTGAAATGAACAAAACAGCAAAGAAGTAAATAAAATTGTTTCCTGATTCAGGTGTCTGATCATTGCTGTCTGTACTTCTGGTGCTGTAAAATGCTAATTTTAACATTCTAATGACTTGTAGAAAAGTACACGTGGAAGTGTTAATTTACCTCAGCTCCTCATTATCCAGCTATGTTTTGCTGGCCATTGAGAGCTGGCTGGGACACAGGAAAGAACTGCTGCAGAAAGGCAGAAGGGCTCTGTGCTGTTGTCCCTGTTGTATGGAGGCTGTAATATTTGATTCATTTTTAATGCTGTAAACAGCTAAAAGCCTTTCTTTTGAGACCTAAGCCATATCTGTTACGCAGTATTATGTAATTAAAATTTTGTAATTAGTTTGCATTTTGTTGATTTGAATTAATATTGTGAAACACAAGCCCAGTAGAGCTTGCTATGTTGGTTTGATTTGCAGAAAATGAAGGGCATCTTATAAAATCAGTGGGCACTGAGTGAAGCTGTTATTTTCCCAAATAGTCTGAATGTCGCTCTAGTCAGCAATGTGTCCAATCGCCCTAAGGTGCTGACTGTGCCAAGTAAATACCACAATTAAAATTCTGTCCGTCGTCTTTGACAGTTCTCAAAGAAATAACAGCTGGTAGGAAAAATATAAATGTGGAAATCCAATCTTTATAGAAATGTTAATCAAACGACCTATTCTCTAAACTTTGTCTTAACGTTGTTGAACTGATCTCCTCTACCCTTCAAGCTTTCTTAATTACAGTAAATACCTTCAGAATGAATAAAAGTGAAAAACCTCACTTTTTTTTTTCCCTTTCCCTTACAATTTCCTCCTTTAAAACTGCAATCTGTTTTAACATTTCCTGTATCCTTTCTTGTCATTTTCTTGCATCTTAGTGCAGTACGTGTAAAGAAAGCTTCTGGTTCAAACCAAGTTCTGTAAGTTTGTTCCCAATAGTTAATGGCTATATTGCTTTTGCCAGCGAATGCCAGAGGCTGTTTCTGGATATGCCTTGTGCATGTGCTTGGCTTACCTGGTTGCTGTTTGTACATTTTAATCTACAGCATGGCTGTGCTGTCACACATGAAATAAGGCATGAACAAAGCTCTGCTATTTCTGTCTCCTCTATACTAGACTCCTCCAGCCTTGCATATCTAGTCTCAGAATATATTTTCTGGGGTCTTTCTAGAGACTTGTTTGGTTATTTTGAAGGCACGAGGAAGATAAATATTTTAGTGGTTGTTTTAATTTAAAAAGCTGAACCATGAGTAATCCAGATAAATAATGTATGCAGTGTGGCAAGACTCAGCAATTTTAGCATCAGTTTATAGCAGCTCAGATATATGGCATGACCTTTATTTTATGGCAGATTTCTTAAGAAACTTCAGTTGCAATTAAGGCTGATGAAATTATTCTGCCATCGTTTGTCTATCTCTTCACCATCACCATTAGAATTGATGTCTGGAATAAGGGAAAAATTAAATGAATTACTACTCCAGGAAGAGGAAATTTTGAGGAAGACCTGAAGGTTCCATGTGGGGTTTAACTCAGTGAGATGGGTGCCTGACTAGCAAGAAGTCTTAGTGTGAATTGTGTTCTGCTGAGCTGGCAGGAAGTAGTTGATAACATTCTTGCTGCATTTTTATGAGAAATTGATGTATTTTAAGCCCTATTTTACAAGTGTTAAACAGAAACAAGTCTGTACACAAAAAGAATAGCAGAAGAGGGTTTGAAAGTCCTGTCTTCAGTCCCCTAGATATTGTTACCAGCTTCCTCATACAATAATTGGTATTTCCATTGTGCTATGGGCTTAGAAACTGGAATCACTTAACTTCAAGATACAAAGTGAAGTTGTTTATAAGGTCCCTTCCAGCCCAAGCCATTCTACAATTGATTCTATGATAATGAATATAATCCTTGGAAAATTCAAAGAGAACATAATTATATTGCTATCAGAGTTTTAATTAATTGTAGTAACATCTATAAATTCCAAATTGCCATAACTTAAATTGTAATACTGCAAAAACTACTGTAAGTTCCTGTATTGTTAATTTAAACTGCAGCAGAAAAAAAAATAGTAGTATCATAAGGCAGCACATAAATAATGTGTTTCACTAGGTAGAAAATGGGTGTATTAAACGTAACTAAACTAAATTCCTCATCTTTGTTCGCATACAGATTTATAATTGGAGATCTTTCAGATTCTGAAAGTGATATATTTGAGCAGTTGAAGGACTGGGACACAAGTTCAGCAGAAGAGCAACAAAAGGCTTTCTGCCATGGCATAGAACTCATTCCCTGGTACGTATTGTCCATCAGAGCTGATGTCCACCAGTTCATGCTGCAAGGTGCAACTGTCATCCATTATGACCAGGAGACACATCTTTCAGCACGTTGCTTTCTTCAGCTTCAGCCTGACAATAGTACTTTGACTTGGACAAAACCCACAACAGTTTGCCCAGCAAATGCAAAAGCAAAACTGAGTGTCCTGGGTAATGCTGCTGAGCTTGGCAAATACCAGTTCCTTGGCAATAGTGGACTAAATGGACTGGTGGAAGGTTTTCTGGATTTGTTTTCAGCCAAGGCTGTGTATATGGGACATTCTGGCATTGATATGCACACTGTGTGTGTTCAAAATAAACTTTGTAATATGTCCCTTGAAGAAAATGGTATAACACTACTTTACGGACTTCAGACTACTGATAATAAGTTGCTGCACTTTGTTGCTCCAAAATATACTGCCAGAATGCTCTACGATGGACTGCTGGAATTGACTAAAGCTGTAAGAAAAATGAGGAGATTTCCTGATCAGAGATTACAGTGGCTACGGAAACAGTATGTCAGCCTCTACCAGGTAAAAGATGCTGTGATTTTCTATGATGAAAGTTCAATGTCATCAATGCATTGTTGAGTGATTAGTTTCTATTATAAGTAAACTGAAGTTAAATGTGAACACCAGACCTCCAACTTAGTAACATGGTTTGAGTGAAAATGTTCTGGTTCTCCACATAATGTCTCATCAAGTGGTGCATATTTTAGATACGTTTTAAGTTTAACCTTTTATATTGTTAAGTTCTTCATATATTTGGAGTTTGGGAATAAATGTTTTCTTAAAGAGAAAGCAATGGCTGTACATGAAAATGGTTCCCCAAAAATGAGTGCTGAGATTTAGGGCCAAAAATATGAGATGGTGAAGAAAATAGCCCTATTGCATTCATGCAGTAATTAAAAATCGTGTGCTCTTGATATTTTGCTTTTCATTGGTTCCCTAGAGATATCTTTATTATAACTTAAGAAAATGTGTCTGTTCTTTGGCAGTTATTCTCCTGATTTTGTTAATGCTGAGAATTTTTGTAGGAGGATGGAAGGTTTGAAGGCCCAACCTTGGCTCAGGCTGTCGAACTGTTTGGAGGCAGACGATGGAGCACAAGGAACACGAGCACAGGAACTCTGACCAAAAGCACTGAGAAACCTAGTGTGCAGAGAAACAACACTCTGGGAATAAATGCAGCTAAGAAGAAGAAGAAAGTACTCATGAGGGTATTCACGTATTTTGTTACTTATCTGGCTGACTTGTTTCCTTCCTACATTTTCTGTGTAGCTAGCTGTACTCTGAACCAGGAGAAAGTTAGTTGAGAACTTTAAAACAGCTTATTGCAGGTTTGGTATGTTTTGGCTTGTTGTTTTCCATTAATTTGGTGGGTTTTTTTCCTGATGTTGAAATTTCATTTCTAAGGACACATGAGCGCTAGCAGACAAGGACATAATGTCATTAAGAACTTTAGGTGCTACTTCAATTTAGGGGTAAAATATTCTTAAGAACAAAAGTAACCATCAGGGTGATGTCTGGAGGCTGTAGTCAGTTTCTTTGCTCCTTTTTGTTTTCATGTTGCTAAAAATATCACCACAAATCTTCTGCTTCACATTAACATGGGGTAAGATAATCTTACATGGCTGACAGAAACAATGCCCTTTCTTTTTCTTCGCGCAAGGATTTCAGCAATAGCTAGGAAAGGGAGAACTCAGGGACTAGCAGCTCAGTGCTGACTACATGGTTACTGGGCAGGTGGGGGAGATCCAGATGACAAGATCCATCCTCTTTGAATCTCCTGTGTCACAGTGGAATAGTGTAAAACCAGCTTCACCAATATAGAGAGGTGCAATCTTTGTCATCCTCTGTGTGATGTCAAACTGGAGTAATTTCTGATGTTCCCCCAGTCATTATGTATCCATCATGTTAAAGCTGTCCCTTTTCTACTTGGAAAGTTTCACGGACAGCACAGTTACTGGCCATACAAAAGTTATTTCATAAGGAATAGCTGATTTATCTCATGATTTTGTTACAGATTGCACTGATAAAGAATGAAAAAGCAGTGGTTTTGGAATATTTATTACAATGCTCACTTCATTTCTAGGGTGAAAGTGGAGAGGCTACTGATGATGAAATGGCAACTCGGAAGGCAAAAAGCTGCAAGGAATATCGAAACAGAAGTGGTTCAGATCCTCAAGATATTGATGAACAAGAAGAATCAGGTAGATACATTGCTTCAGTATTTAAGAGTCTCTCAGGATTTTGCAAAAAAGTCATGATACAGATGTGCTTTACAGTGTTGAATATGTATATGTTCATGGTAGGAAAATTATTTTTATAGATGAAACTCCAAATGCTGTCAAGTTTTAAAACTAGTTTCTTTTTCGATTCCTGCTGCTTCTTTCCTTACGTTCAATAGCACTGCCTTTCTAGTCAGGCTAAAGCATGTATGAACCTTGCTCAGAATGTATCTTTTTGACTGTCTTGGAACAAATCTACAATCCCTGTAGTGTTTTACTGAGCGTTAATGAATTATGGTATTGGGCTCTTGGATGAAAGCATTTTTATTGGGACAGAGGCTGTAATAGTACTGCAAACTTTTGTTTCCTTTGTAGATCAAAATATTATTATTAATGCTTCTCCATCTAACACCCTGTCATCAAGAAGAGCTCACTCTTTGACAGCATCTGGACCTCCTCATTTAGGAGCTTCCACGTCCTCACCAGCCAGACCAGTGTCCTCTCCTGTAATGTCTTCAAGCAAGAGTCAGTCGAGGTAAGGATGAAATCAGTGCTTTGGTTTAAAAAGAAAAAAATTACTATTGTTTAGTTATGATCATTTTTCTTGCCAAGCTGATGAAGTCTGACAAAATCAGTGCCAGAAAGGCAATTAGTCTTTTGATAGACATCTGAATGATAGACAACGTTGTAGCACAACATAAGGCATTTAAGCTGAAATACCATTAATCTTTGGGCAGCAGTGTAGACAGTCTGCGAGCCAGGATGCTTCAGTTAGTAAGTCAGTTACAGAAGAAAATTGGAATGCATTCCAAAACTCAGCAAGTTTAATTCTTTCTCCAGATTGTCTCCAAAACATGGTTACAGATATCTTCTGTATAAAGAAACCCAGCAAGTCATTTCTACCTGAGGGAGTATTAACTTTGCTGATGTTCTGGGTGAGGACTGCAGTAGTTTCTCAGACCATTAGAGGAACAGTTTTGAAATCTTCATTCCTTACAGCCCTCTGTCTTCTCCTTTAACATTCATCATTTTTCTATTGCTTACACAGCACGAAAGGTCATTCTGTGGTGTGCAATGACATAGTTCAGTAACATATTTATTCTATAAATAATAATAATTATAGTAGTAATAGTAGTAATAACATAACAAGGATAATGTACTAGAGTTGTGGATGGTACTTGGTGATATACAAGAATACAGTGACAACAGAGACCTTCCAGTATCTTTTAACATAATGATGTATTATGGATACAGGTATGAATTTTGGGATTTCCAGGAAAGCAGTGGTAAACACTGGAAGAGATTACTGCTGCTGGCAGAACATTATTTTGTGGAGATATGCCTTGTGTAACGGTTTGTTTTGTTTATTTCATAGGATTCTTTTACATTTCAGTGGTTGGGTTTAGGGATGGAAGTGAGTAGTAGAGCCTCCTGTGGGCGTCTGTCTGGTTGTTGCTCCATGTAATATTACTTTCTGAGACTTCCCTGTGTTCTTCACTTCTTGTTCTTCACTGTCAAACACAACTATGAGATGAACATTCCAGGCTTGGATTTATTTTTGTGGGACATTTATAGGGCTTTTGGTTGTTGTTGTTTTTCTATTTGTTTGTTTTTTAAGGATTGGAGCAATTCTCTTTTATATTAAACTGAAGAAATACTGCATTACTACCTCTGATGAATGCTCCTCTGTTTTGCAAATCTGCTTTATGCTCTTCATACCAAAAGAGTTGTTGTTCTGTAAATGCGATTAAAAGGCTCAGCTGAAAGCTCACATTCCCAGGGGAAGGACAGCTAATGTTGCTTTAAATCCTCTCAGTTCTGGGTTTCTGCATAACTTAGCACTCTAGGCCTCCCTGAGCTATGATGAGTTTTCCCTGGCAGCTGTTTGGATACTCCATAGTATCTCCTGGTAGAGCTCTCCCCAGTGTGATAGGACCTTCCACACTGGATCTTGTAGGAAGTGATTCTGAAGAGGGTTCTGCCAGGCTCCACAGAAGCCTTTGTTGTACAGAAGTCTTAGCTGATAACATATGATTAAATGTAGAGTACAGAGCTACAAAGGGAAGAGCATGGAAGATTTCCTATTCTTGCTCTCTTTTTTTGTCTGTATGGTATGTACATTAAAAGTAGCCTTCCCTAACCATCACTTAGGTCCATGCCTCTGCTACATGTGAAGCTCTGAATAAAATCAAATAGAAAAAAAAGACTATTGATTGCAATTTAATATGAGAAAGAGCTGGCTATTTTTGTACAATTTAAATAATTGTACCTGCAGGTAGAGAATTAAGAACTGTATTTTTACAGGTGTAGTTCACAGTCTTGATATTTCTTACCTCCTTACTAACAGCTTACACTGAAAATAAATCCTCACAGGTTACAGATGTGCAGATAATTTGCGCACACAGGGAGCCTGCAGCTGTCCTCTGTCATCCATTTGAAGTGGATTTACATGCAGCAAATTCTAAAGCTCTTTGAAAGTGTAGTGCTGCCCCTAAGTTGGAAACAAGGGAAAGGGAGCAAAAACCACTGGGAATCTTATAGCAGAATATGAAAAATAAGAAATGAAGACTTATTTGTGAAGGGAAGGTAAAGTTTGCTCTCCTTAGCTGTATACAGGTATAAACTAGACTACTCCTAATTACAGTTTTGATAATTGGTGGTAGTGGGCTTGTCTTGTTTGGTTGGCTTTTTTTTTTTTTTTTTTTTTCCCTTAAATTATCTTATGTGGAATTACTGTAGAAGATAATCTCTAGAGATACATTCTGGAGAAATGGTGAGCTTTCTTATATGCTGCTGATTTTCCCTTCAGTATTCTGCCTTTCCAGTCTGCAGGAGTCAAGAGTCTTTCCTCATCATGGTTTATTTTTCTTGTCTGATAAAAATGTTAGGAATTATTTTAGCCCCAAAGTTATATGCAGTATGTCAGTACTTGCCATAGTGATGTCAAACAAATTGAACATTATCAACCAAAGTAGATGGTATTTTTTTAATACTTAAAATCACATGGTGTTTTCAATTGCATGCATCCATCCCAGGCCAGGAGTGAACTGAGGAATCTAATGTAGTGTATTTATGTGAAGTCTGCTTGTAGCACTAATTTCCAGGGACTGCAAAATGTCTTTAGGGACACTGGACAACAAGCTGGTCCTGTTTTTCCATCACAGCTGTTGGAACTGTTTGTACCGAATCTGATGTCAGGATTCCTAGATTAATGGATTTGTAGATTTGTACATTATGGAGCAATAAAAGCTGACATGTGGTCACCTAGTCTCGTATTTTTAAACAAATACTGCAATTTCTGAAGCTCTGCTGCAAACTAGACAGTTCTGACTGTGTCAGTGCCTCCTTTTGCAGGATGCTGGTAGATCCCAGTTGTGCAGGTGTGGTCACTGAGGTTTAGACACAGGAGACAGCTCCGAAACTCAGCCATTTGGCTGATACCCTTACAAATTAGCACTTGAAATTCACTAAGGATTTGACTATACTGCTGAAAGAGTAGTTCAAACTGGGGAAAAGCTGCAGTTACTAGTGTGAGTCTTGTAATAGCCCAAAGACTTTAGGATACAGCTTTTGGAAATTTGTTGTTCTGGTTCAAAAACTTATTGTTCACTTGCACAACTTAGTTTAACAACTGCAGGTACAAGGAAATTGGCTTAGTATCACTGGAGTCAACTAAAATAATGAACAGCAAACAGCTAATTTGTTTCTGTGATTATTTTCCCCATTTGCGCTCAAGAAATATCAGTTTGCTTTCCTTCCTTCAGTCCAAGAAGCTGAAAGGATGAAATCATTAAAAGGAAATGGCCTCCAGGGGCTACTGCTCAAGCCTAAAAGAAGAGGGCTGTAGCTTGACCTGTCTTTGAAGTATCTGAGGATCATCTCAACTGTTTTTGGAAAGTATGAGAGAAGCCCACGAGGCTGGGAAAGGAGGAGGCTTGTGTACCAGGGGAAGGGCTATACTTCTTTAGATCTCGACCTTTAATTTTAATTCTAGACAGGAGGAAACCCCAGGTGTGTGAGGAAAATATTGTTTTTATTGTGTATCCACTTGTAATATTAGTACTTTATTTTGATTGCTATAAGGAATTCTATGTCCTTCTTACCTTTTCCTTAGCAAATCCTCAGTGCACCTCATAAGCAGCAGTACATGTTTTCTAAAGCTTGTGGTACGAGAATGCTGACACTGTTTTCTTCAAACAAAAAAATGAGAATGCATTCATTTTTGCCATTTCCAGCAGACCCTTTTTCCCTTGGAAGTGTTTTAAATATACTTTAATCATTCTGGTAAAGTTTGCAGTTGTTTTGTGAGAAACAAATAGCCATTATAAAACAAAAAAGTATAATTGTCATTATTAATCTTATAACATTCAGCTTTATTTGCTGTTAATGCAGTAATTTGTTTCATATGTGTAATATGTTTCAGTATGTGTAATATAACCAAATTACAGCAGTCTCTTTTTGATTTAGCACGTGGAGCAGCAGTAGCTGGCACGGCCGTGTTAAAGGAGGAATGAAGGGATTCCAGAACTTCATGGTTTCTGACAGTAACATGACTTTTGTGGAATTTGTGGAGCTCTTCAAATCTTTCAGGTAAAACATATTGGTATTCTGCATTGATCTCTTTCATCCAAGTTTATGAAATAGCTAAAATTAGACTTCTCATGTCTTTTACAGTGTCCGTAGCCGCAAAGACCTTAAAGACCTTTTCGATGTCTATGCTGTGCCTTGCAATCGATCTGGTCTAGAGCCTACTCCACTTTATACTAATTTGAAGATTGATGAAAACAGCATTGGATTCCAACCCGATTTAGGTTTGTTAAAGAAAACACAACTGGTAGACTACTGAACAGCTTCAGTTAATGGCCTCAAGATAACATCTCTCAGTCAGTCTCATAAAGAGTGATCGATTATAAGTTAAGCACAGGGTAGCTGCCATACCTCCAATAACACCTGTTTAGCCAGAAGTAAGGCAGGTTCTTTGTTCAGAAAGTAAGAAAAGTACTCCTGTTTTAAGTTAACCAGATAGATTTGTAACTAACTGGCATAGCAGAGGCAAAAAGCTTTTTGCTAAGAGGCTGCGCCCGACGCAGGAAGTATCTGGTTGCAGGAGCTCTGGAATCTGCCATAGGGGTAATACAGTGAGCAAACATAGGAATCAGAAAGAAAAAGGCTGTGCCCTGTGTTTCATCTGTTTTTGTTGTTGTTGTTTTGGTTTTTTTTGTTTGTTTTTATCTATCTGATTTCCTAGTAGATCTGTTTCATTTGGGACAAGGGGAAAAGAAACCTTTGTCCCTCTTTACATTCCCCAATTGCCATAATCTAAGTTTGGAGTTTTGTTTACATTTAAAGAAAGCAGTATTTCTGCCAAGCAGCCTGTGGGAAGGGTACAGCACCACTGGCATGCAAAGATATAAAGTCTTTGGGCAAGCTGTAGGATTGCACGCAGCAAAAGAAAGGCTTCAAGGCTGTACATGGTCATGAGAGGGTGCAGGAGGGGCCTGGGTGACAGTGGGAGAGACTGTTGGATCCATGTTAGACATTCCAGGATTTTGTGTATAATAATTAATTGCTTACAATAGTTCTCTCCCACTGCTTTATGTACACAGTTAACACTTAATCTCCTATGAGTGGATAGAAACAAGATGGTTCTGTTTATGTTTACAATGTTATGGGTAAAATGTTCTATGAGATATTCAAGTATCTTTGCAATGAAATATGTTAAATTCTATTCTATACGATGTATCCAATACACATAATGATGTATTTGATATTTATTTTGTTTATTGTTTGTTTGTTTATTTTTAATAGATTTGTTGACTAGGAATGTTTCAGACCTTGGTTTGTTCATTAAGAGTAGGCAGCAGTTGTCAGATAACCAGAGGCAAATATCTGATGCTATTGCTGCTGCCAGCATTGTAACTAATGGTACTGGAGTGGAAAGCACATCACTGGGGGTATTTGGTGTGGGCATCCAGCAGCTGAACGACTTCCTTGTGAACTGCCAAGGAGAGCACTGCACCTATGATGAAATCCTCAGCATTATCCAGGTCTGTAACACAAACATATTGCAATCCCTTTTACTAGGAATCTTGTTACTTCTGTTTTCCCTGTAAATGTTCCCAACAGTATTGTTTAAAGACATGGGGTATTTTACTTTGTTGTTCTTGTTTCCATTTGACAGCTCTAAAGTTTAATATTATCTTTATTGAAGGCTATAAAGTTATGCCGGTATCCATATATGTACGCCTATAAAAAGAAAAGAAATGATGCAAATAAACAGGAGTGGGGTTTTTTTTTGCTGTGTACGCTTTACCTGGGAAGGGGCATGACAGTTGAGAAAAGTGTTCTTGGTTGTGCATTCTTTTCTTCTTGTCTGAGTTCACCTTTGATAAACACTAACTTGGAACTTAAAAAAAAAAACAACATTGTTTCCACATGTTTTTGTTTTACTGTTAAAAAGAAGGCAAAACAGAACAGGAATCCACCTTCTCAGAGCAGAAGCAAATATAGACATCTTACTCCCTTCTATACAGTGGCTAAAGTGATCATTATGTAGAGAACAGGAAAATTACATTAAAATATTTGGATTTCCTCCACATGTGTGATTAATACAATCCAAAACCAAGCACCCACTTAGGAGTTTACTAAGGTTAGAATTTGAGTATTTGAACTATTAATATATAACAGACTTGCAAAGCCCAAAAGACAGAAGTTCTAAGGAAACATTCAGGTAGAACAGCAGAAGCGTCCAATTCGACATGGTGTTGTGTTTGAACACAGTAAGAAGAGGATACATGATTATAGATGCTTTCTAATTTCAGCTAAAGTACTGACTGCTTTGAATGGGAGATTGGATCAGGTGACCTTCCAATATCCCTTCCAACATGAATGATTCTATTATTCTGCAATTAAAAGCTTAATTTGCTTGTTTACTGATTTTTAAAGCAAGCATGAGTATTCCAGACACGTAACTCCTTTAGAAACAAAAATGCTGGGTTTAGATATAGTTAATTAAGTGTGCAAACTACACTGTGAAAATACAAAAAAGCAGTATTTCTAAAAATCACTGTTATATGCGTCTTATATTTCTTCCTTCCTGTAGAAGTTTGAACCCAGTGTCAATATGTGCCAGCAGGGGCTACTATCTTTCGAAGGATTTGCGAGGTAATTGTTCATTTATATATATGACACCAGTGTATTAATGTGTGCATGATGTTCACAAAATACTCAGCACAGCTTGTAACTTCCTGACATCTTCTCACTTTGAGGTTTTTGATGGATAAAGACAACTTTGCCTCCAAAAATGATGAGTCACAAGAGAATGCTGAGGACTTGCAGTTTCCACTGTCATATTACTATATTGAATCTTCCCACAATACCTACCTTACTGGCCATCAGCTTAAAGGGGAATCCTCAGTGGAGCTCTATAGCCAGGTAAATGGGGTTAGATCATTGCGTAGTTTTCAGTATTAACGTGTTTGTTTAACTGTCAAGTGCAGGAACATGACCTTTTTGCTTTGTAACTCCAAATGTTCTAAGACCCTGCTTGTAAAATGTTGGAAAACATGATGTGTGGGAAAGCTGCCCATAAGCACAGTTGTGTTCAAATGCCTTTTCTAAGGCAAAAAAAAAAAAAAAAAAAAAGGCTTAGTTTGAGATTCATAGCATCTAGACACCAGTCGGTCTGACCCAACCTACTAAAATTAGACTTTCCCACAGGAAAGACTGATCTAATATTTTAGTTCATTCAGATGTCAGAAACACTATTCAAATATTGTACATTGCACTGCAAAGACTAATTTCAAATGGAACTATAACATCTGAAGACATTGCTTCTAGGAATATTCTAGAGCTACTTACACTTTCTGCCTGATGAACAGGAAAAAAGCAATTTCTTCCTAGGGCGTTTAATTCTGTGTGTGTTTGTGTGCATACCAATTTGTTGGTGTGTCTGTGTATTTATCAAATACTAGAGAAGGCACTGCATTTCCTGCAAGTAGTGCTTTTGTTACTCTAGATATTAGTGACTTACTATTGAAAGGGCTCATCTGGTGTCCCATGTGCCACTTTACTTGTGGATTTAGATAGAGGGCTGTAGCTGTATTAGGAAAACCTGAATAATGATGTCGAAAAATACGATTGCAAAGGAGGTTCCCATAATTTCACTGCACAGAGTGGTGTGAGTATTTTGTTGGGAATATATTGGCAGTGAGATAGAGCTCAGCTGGCTCTAAATTAAGCATGATACAGGAAAGCCTCTGCCTGTCCCCAGACAGTTATCCCAGAGGACGGGGCAGCCTGTCCTGGCTCAGCATGCCTGGCTCTCACATGAGTGGTGATACCAGCCACACACACAGCTGCCCAAAACATTCTTAATAGCAGAAGTAATTTTTCTGAATTGGAGAAGTTATTCTTCTTCTTTGTTCATGAGTGTATTTGCTGGAAATGATTTTGATTTAGAGATCTTCATTTTCAGTAAAATATTTAATAGTAATAGAGATAACTTTTCAGTGATAGGCAGTTCTAAATAAACAACAGTAATAAAAAGCACGGGACCAACAGTGCATAATTCAGCTTATTTTTCCCACCGTCCTGCTTCTTTGCTTTCTTTGGTAGTTTTCTAGAAAGCACAGCTTCTTCAAACAAAGAAGTAAACTAGTTATTATCACTAACCACGATGGCCAGGCACATTTGCATTCTGATTATCCTTCTGTAAGTTCTTCACTAGATATTATTTTCAGACCATCTTCTATTTAAAAACCTATTAAAAAAAAAAAAAAAAAAAAATCCCAAAGCAAAAGCAGCAATGCTGTGCCCATAAGCTGTCACGTTAACAATCTAGAATATATTGCCATGTTACTTTCCAACTGCTTTTGCAGGTGGAAATGCAGGAATGTTTTTCTCCCTCAGGACACTGAGGTATACATTAAGAACCATTTTCTGCAAGCAGATTCCATGTGTTCTGTAAAGTACCATGAATTTCCAAGCTTTATAGTACTTCTCCTGAAAACATACATGCTTTCTTAATTTTCCCACTAGGGAATGCAGTTAGCTGGGGACTGCAGCTTCTGTGGCCTGTATTTACAGAGGCTGCTCATTCCAGCTCCTTTTCTGAACCACTGTGCTTTCATTTACCTCTGCAGTGTCTTCTGCTTTGATAATATCAGGCTGTGGCTTCTATGTGCTCACTGTTCAATTGCATTGCAGGTTCTCTTACAAGGCTGTAGAAGTGTCGAATTAGACTGCTGGGATGGCGATGATGGGATGCCTATCATTTACCATGGACACACTCTCACTACTAAGATCTCTTTTAAGGTATGCTAGTAATTATATCTAGAAACAAACAAATCTGTACTATTTCTCTGACAAGGCAAAAAAAAAAAAAAAATAGCCTACTAGGAAAATGCAAGTCTGAATAGACTAAATCTTAATAGAATACGATGTACTACTTCAGATATGAACTCCCTAATTGTAAACATTATGCTTTTTGAGTTTGTGTTTGTAGCAGATGTATGGTAATTTTTGTGTGGCTATTTTTGATGTGTCAGTGTAAATCTAAGTAACTGTTATCAGTTCTTTTATAAAGAGATGCTAGGCTGATCTGTAGGGGCTTGTTATGGAAACGAAGTATGGATTCTTTCTTCTTAGGGAAAACAGATGCCTTTCAACTGAAATAAGCTAACTGAATGCTGCAAAGTAATCATGTTCTTTCAATGACCCTTCTTTCTCATAGGAGGTAGTTGAAGCCATTGATCGCAATGCATTTATCACCTCTGACATGCCAATTATCATATCCATAGAAAACCACTGTTCCTTACCTCAGCAGCGCAAGATGGCTGAAATTTTCAAGGTGGGCCATAAATTGCAGTAAATTAATCTAAGGACTTGTCTTGGGATTCTTCCATAATATACCTCATTCTCAATATTTCAGAATGTATTTGGAGATAAGCTGGTGACCAAGTTTTTATTTGAGAGTGACTTTTCTGACGACCCCATGCTTCCTTCACCTGACCAACTGAAAAGAAAAATCCTGCTTAAAAATAAGAAGCTCAAAGCCCATCAAACACCAGTGGATATATTGAAACAGAAGGTATAGTCCTTCCTGAATAGCAAGCAGTGGGACTTAACTACAGCTAGAAGTAATTCATTTACGTTGTGTACTTTTATGTAAGATGCAATCAGTGAAGAAAACTATTACTAAAAGTACCTTCTAGTAATTTAATAAGTGGTTCTATTGTGATAGGCTCACCAGCTGGCGCATATGCAAGCACAGGCTAGCAATGGTGCTAGCAACCCCACACCTGCCAATGAAGAGGAAGAAGATGAAGAGGATGAGTATGACTATGACTATGAATCTCTCTCTGATGGTAAGAATATCTATTTCTTTCTTACAGTGCTGCTGTTAGGGAACTGTAGCAATAAGACGTGTAAATATTATTCTGGTTCAGGAATGATAAAGATAAGTTGATCTCACCTTGTTGGAGGAAGATATACTAAATGTCTTCATCGGCACTTTAGTGTGGTGTAGAGGGCACAAGTGTTAAATCCAACCATTTGATGTTTTAACTGTGCAACATATTCTAAATTTTAGTCGTTATGGATTATTTTTATATTTATCATTAATTATGAAAAAAATGATTACCTTCACAGTTTACTCTATCTACATTCAACAATATTGTCTTTCCTAAGGAGCTGAGACACCTGAAAGCTCAAGGTTCATAACAGACTAAATCCTTGCATCTGCCTGTCTTAATCTAAAATGGCATCTTAAGGAATCTTCATCTAAGATGCAGATTCTCCAAAACCCCATATTGTTTCTTTCTAATTCCAGATACCCCTGAAATATCTATTTTAGTTCAATTTTTTTTATTTCATATTCATTATTTTTTGTTATTTTGATAATTTGCCAAGAATATATTGATGTAGATCATAGTGCATTTGAAAGATGAGACAATAGCAATAGCTGGAAGTCATACCAAGCTCTAGTTAAGTGCTCCAGCTTTGTTAGATATCTCCAGAAATGGGTCACAAAGCTGATTAAGGTACAAAAATTTACACATGTACTTCAGTGTAGATAAATGCACGGTAATAAATACACGGGAAAAAAGTAAAACTTGCTTATGTGACTCAAAGCTCTACACTCTCTGCAACCATTTGGGAGATGTTAAAAGTTGCTATAGGTTTTCTGAAATTCTCAGGTAGGTGTATGGTGACAGCCAAAAAAGCCTATAAAATAGTGTAGATCCAAAAAGATGATTATCAGGAACTGAAAACAAAGCATCTTTTTGCTGTTTTATAAAACCTCTTTGTTCCACAGCTTGAGTTCTTATTCCTCAAGGAATAAGTTACAGATTAGGGGAACCAACAAACTAAGTGGAATGGGCAGTGGCTCTGTGGGAATGTGAAAAAGCTGAAATTTTTCAGTTGGTGGAGAAGAGGGCTTAGGGCTGATTTGAAGAATATTTACTAAATGATTAATTGAAGGATAAAAGGAAGCACAGGACTGTTGCAAGGTTTAAGAGGCTCTCAATAGAACAAGTAAATCAGTCTAAAACAGGTAAAAGAAAGTATTCTTATGCAGCTGGTAGTAAACAGTGGGAATTTGCTGCCACAGGAAATTGTGGAGACAAACAATATCAGCAGATCTGAAAAAGGATTGAACAAACCATGGACAGGGTTTTAATCAAAAGTTGTATCTAGAAACATGTGGCCCAACATGTAGCAGTTGTGGATGTTAGGATGGTTCAAGGGAAATGGACCATGCCTAGTGCTCTCTTTATACATAATACAGTATATTCTGCTGCCACTGCCAGAAACAGAATACTGTGCTAGATGGACTATTGGTCTGAAACAGCTGAGCACATTCTCCTGGCTGAATTGTAAAATCACTTAAGGATTTCACTTACTGAATCCTTAAGCCTAATGTGTACCTGCTTAAGTTCTAGGTGTCATGTTCAGGGAAGGTGTGAGGCTTAAGCACACACACTCTGCAACACAGGACCTTCTTCTGGTTGGTCTCTTATTTGCATTACTTCCTTCTGTGCTGAATTTTTTAAAAAGGTAAAATAAATAAATAAATAAATGCTGGATCTGAGTGTTACTGCTTGCAGGGCAGCAGTATTGTTCATGCTAATAGAACATTTATGAATCATAGAATTGTTTGAGTTGGAAGGGACCCTTTAAAGGCCATCTGGTCCAACTCCTGTAGAATGAACAGGGACATCCACAGCTTGATCAGGTGCTCAGAGCCCTGTCCAGGCTGATCTTGAGTGTCCCCAAGGATGGGACATCTACCACCTCTCTGGGCAATCTGTTCCTGTGCCTCACCACCCTTATTGCAGAGAACTTCTTCCTTATGTCCAATCTAAATCTCCCCTCTTTTATTTTGAAAGCACTTCCCCTTGTCCTATCACAACAGATCCTGATAAAGAGTCTATCCTTTCTTACAGTCCCCCTTTAGACACTGAAAGACCACTATCAGGTCTCTGAGGAGCCTTATCTTCTCCAGAGGCTATGAGGCTAGTTCTGGTGCTGCCTTCAGTTGTGTTTTGCTAGAAAGTTGGTCTAGCTGGCTATCATCAGTATTCTCCTGGTATGGAGCAGGGTGGGGAAAGCATAGATAAAATTGCTGTGAAAAACTGAGAATGCTGTTAGCAAGTTTGTCAGGAAAATATTGTTAGCTGACTGCAGTAAGTGATGAGTTAGCAGTGTTAGTTAAGAGAAGATTTGAGAAATCTGAAGGTAACGAGGGTTAGTCACAGCTCACAATACATGAATACTGAGACATGTTTACTGCCTTATTACGACTATTATTCTTTGGGATTTTTACGTATGCGGTTATTTTGGCAAAACTAATCTAGGTAACAGTCCATAAACCTTCTAGAAATTTTTGTTTTGATTTTCCTCACTGATACATTAGGTTTGTGTCAGGCTAATAGTTTTACAACTGACACTTAATTTTCATTTCTCTGGCTGTAAATCTTAATTTCCTTTACTCTTATTCCCCTTCTGACTCCGTTTCCCTGTAGCAGATGTCCTTAATGCTTCTCCTGCTCCTAACAGCCAGGAAGGTAAAGGCCGTTTGGTTGAGCATTTTAACTGCATGAAATCAGCACTGCATCACCAGCCTGTTAAAAACAACCATGTAAATATATGGTTTTTACCTCGTAGTAAAACCACAATCAGATTCTTTTATATGGCATTGTTAACTGTCAGGAAATGTTAGAGGACTGCATGTACGACACTGGTTATGCAAAGAAAGAGTATGGTCAAAGCATCAGGGGTATCAGGAATAAATAAAACCATTCCTTTTGTGACAGTTTCAATATTTTGATCCAGAAAGACCAATTAGAAAGTGTAATATTCTCTGAGAAATACACAGCTTTGAAGAGGAATTTTATCGCTGTAAAAAATATTTGTGTACAGTGAATGCAAGGAGAGAAAAGGCAAAACTCTCTGAACAAAGATACATGTTTGGTGTGGCTAATTGTGTTTGGACATGAGCAATTCTTTCTTATTCAGGGGTATTCCTTGTTGTCACATGGCAAGCTTGAAGAATTAATATAAATCCATGAAATGATTTTGTTTTGAGCATTTTCTGAGCACAAAAGGATGGGCTTTAAAGAAGTGCAATATATTAACCAAAGCTCAGCATTAAAATTTTCAAGTAGAAAGCTACTACTAAAATAAAAGAGAATGCTTTGACCAGTAAATGCATCATTCTGGCATCTGGTTATTCAGATAAAATTCACGGCATTATCCACAACCACTGTTAGTTCACATTAAATTTCCAGTTGAAATTTTTTTGGCTCTATGTTTATTAAAATCCCATTGATTTTTAGATAACATTCTTGACGACCGACCTGAGAATAAATTATCAAGTGATAAGCTGCAGTTTGAATATAATGAAGAGACTGCCAAAAGAATAAAGAAGGCTGATTGTGCTACTTACAGTAATAAAGGAAAGGTAGTTCTGCTTTTTCCCCTTTCTTCTCAGCCACACTTTAATACATAACCAGCTTCAAAAGGATTTGCACTGCTTAGGTAACTGAGACATCAGGTGGTAAATGTATTTAATGAACACAGATAGAAAGCATGGAAACACACCAGAGAAGATGTATGAATTAAATAGAATATTCTGTATGCTGGTCAAGTAAAGTCTTTAGAGGTTATTGGATGCACAGGTTGGCTGAAAATTACAACTGTTGGTGCTGTCTGTGAAAGGTGTAATCACAGCTAAATCCGGAGGGTTACTGGAGTGCCCAATACCAATAGGCAATTTCATCTCAGTCTTCAACATCTTTGTTTATCGAAATAACTTAATTTATTGTTTTATGATGTCAAATAAGTGCATTTGTTTTCATTAAGTCATCAGACACCAAAAGCACTGCACTGCTGTGTAGTTTCTCCTGAACACAAGTGTTTTTGTAAAAATTTGTAGAACCGACTCGGATGTCTTTGCACACTCTCCCTATTTCAGTGACAGATATTGGCGCATAAGCCAGAGATCTGTTAGGCAAAGACAGCAACCCACATTGAAAGAATGAGATTAATTATTTTAAGGACATAAGTAAGATATGCTAGAGTACTTTCATATTCAGTAATTTTGTTATTTATGTTATTGGAATTGTCACTTAGGTTTACGACATGGAACTGGGAGAAGAATTCTATCTTCCACAAAACAAGAAGGAAAGCCGACAGATAGCCCCAGAGCTATCAGATCTTGTCATTTACTGTCAAGCTGTGAAGTTCCCAGGTACGTAGACTTCTGTTTTATTACCTTAAACTTTCTGTTTCTTTGAGATACTGTGTTGATGTTTTGAATTGGTCAGTACAAGCATCTTCACATTTAAGAAGCTGAGGACCTTTTTCTTGATGATTTGTTAGTCTATTTAATCAAAGTTTTATACATAAATCCATCATGGGAAAGCATATTGCTTACAAAATTGAAATCTCCCGGTCTTCACAACTTAGGCAACTGCTTCTTTATTTCAGGAGGGGTGAAACAAAGCTTTGTCATAACAACTCTGAATTTCCATGTTAAAAAAACACAAAACTTGGAAGGAAAATATTTCTGAAACTTTCCAGGAAGACCTTGTCACATTTCTTAAAGTGATCCCATTTTACTGTGTTTCATTTTTACCTGCAGCCTCCATTTTCATTTCTTTCCTAAGTGCAGAGGAGGGGAGCCATTTGTGGGGGTAATGCTGAAAGCTCAAAGCTTCTGAAATAACTTACTTTTTCCAGCATCTGGGCTGGTAATTCAGGAAGAAGAAAAACAAAATGCCCCTTTCATGGGGTGGGTGAGGATAGCTGAATGCACGTTCACTCACACATTCCTTATGGAAAGGGTTAAGAAAATAAGGTTTTATTTGTATAGCAAGAGAAAAGAGAGGAACTGGAGAGTAGATCACTGATAGTTACTGGTTTGTTGAATCATAGATTCTATAAAACATGAAGTTTGGTATATTTTGGCTCATACTTTTTTGTACATAAATTCTTTTAAATCGAGATTTTATTGTTTACTGATATGTTTAATGTTTTGAATGAAATATCTACTCTTTAATGGAATGGTTCTGTGTGGAAAAGTTAGCAATTCTGCCAAATCATGACCTTATACAAATAGAACTATAATCAGATTAGAGAAGCTAGCCAAACATAAAATAGTGTCAAATAGGCAAGATAAACATGCTGAAAAATGGAGAGGCATTCCATTATTATCTTTTATAAGTGCAAGAATTGTAGGTGTTACTTGTAACAATAATAACTCCTAAAAATTCAAATTTGATACTCATTACAGAAATCTCCAACCTTTCAAATAAAATATTTTCTTTTAAAGAATGATATTTAAGATTAAGCAGAGGTAATTTAAGTTGTTCCAAACATTCTGACACTCAAAGAAGTTATGGTGATCTGTGATATCTTTATAATGTTTTAGGTTTTTTCAGTTAGAAAAGAAATGCTTTCCCTATGAGATTTCCTCTTCTTGTTTTAAAGGCATGTGAATGGAATAATCAGGAAAAATAAGTTCCATTCACAGATGAACATATGAAGCTATATAAGTTAGTTTTCCAACAAACTCATGTATTTTTTCCTCCTTTGAGACAAATGCTGCCTTCTCTGCAACACATGTAGACATCATGACCACTGTACTGCTGATTGCTCATCTGGAGGTCACAGATGTGGTACATGTCACTGTTCTGCTGTTCTATCTCCATATTGTCCATTAGTGACAGCAAGACTGGTAGATCCATGATTATGTAGTTCTGTTGACCAATTTTCTTCCCCAACTCAGAAAATGTGAGACTTTTGGAGATAGTAAGGGAATAGTCAGTGGCTGATAATAATGTGAATACTTCATTTCTCCTGCCACCATGTACTTCTATTCTGTGTTCACAATTGTGTCTCCGAAGGTCGCTCATTGATTGTGACTATAAAACAAGACAACAAGACAAGGACCATTCTCTTCATTTAGCCTTGCCTACTGAGTAACACAGACTTTCAGCCAGCTTCTTGATTGAAACAGAATTCATCTTGTAGAGAGAAAATACATTTATTTTTCATTAAACCTCTGGGAAGGAGGTACCCACCACTGTTCTTGTTGTGCCAGTGGTATTTGACCCTTATGGTCCTTATTTAACTTCAGTTTCAGTCTGTTGGATATCACTGTAGCATCATCTACGAGAATGAAGGTTTGTTCTCTTAGGTCACCAAAGATAAAGGCAGTGAAGCATACTGAGCAGAATGCTACTATAACTCACTCGCACTTGGCCTGTTGGCTTGGTGCTGAGGATCCTCATACAATGAGTAAGGAAAGTTAAGTGCATAAAAACAGGATCAGCACAACCAAGTGCATTGAGCAGGAAGGCACTTAAGCAAAACATCGTAAAATTCAGTTACCAGCTCCACTGTACCAGGCTATCTACCAGTATGGTATAAGTAAGTTTAATAGAAATTAAGGTTAATGTGAAAAAAAAAAAAAAAAAAAAAAAAAGATTAGTACCCAAAAGAAGTACTGTTAATTATTTTCAGGGTCTGCAAACCTGCCGCTGATCAGAAAGAAGTACATGGTGAGGCAGTTAACAGTTGCAGTTTGACCTGTTATTCCAGCAGGTTTAGAATAAGAAAGATGGGAGTTTGCTGCCTTCAGGATTCAAACTCCCAAAGTGGTAAAGCAATAAGCTAATGTCTAATGAGAGCCTGGCACTAAATTATCTAACCTAAAGGATATGGTGCAGTGGTTGAGAGGAGATATGAAAGATTTGTGCTGTCCTTCTGGTAGAATGGTGGGCTGTAAGCTGGTCCTGCTTAGACCACAGAGTTGGACCAGATGACTTTCTGGTCCTTTCCAACCTCCATTATTCTGTGAATTTATGATTCTATGTATAGGTGATGCTGTATTTTGGAGCTCAGTTTAAATTGGAATGAAATATGGAGCTTGCCTCTGGGAGAAGGTCTATCACTTGCAAAGCATGCCCATGGGAAAGACTAAAAAGAAAACTCCCGGCTGCAGTCTACCCTGTGGCCATCACATATGGTTCAGCTAACCTTGATGTTTTGCATTGCAGTCTCTGGTGATTTATGAGGTTAGTCTGTTTCCTCAGTGACTGTCTCCACAACAGGATTTTGAAACCTGGATCTTGCTTGCCAAATCCATTTGATCCATTGAAAACTCGGATTAAATCATTCTGGAAGCACATAGTGCATAACTCCTTGTTCTTTTTAGTCACTTCATATTCCTTGATCTCAGCTTCTACCATCTTCTATTGTTTATGTGTATGCTTTGGCCCAAAGAGACAGTAAGTCTCCAGCACTGAAAACATTTATGCACGTACTAAATTTTACTAACCCAAGGCAGTTACATTGAAACTATCAGCATAATTTTACAAACTACATGTAGACATGCTGTAAAGATTGAGACCTGAAAATTTACAGCTCTGGACTTGACTTCAGCAGAACCAAGACCAATGCATTCTCTTTGTGATTTATATTTGTAGATGAAACATTGGTATATAGCCAGTCTTTAGGCAGGTGTGAATTGATGGGAGAACATGAGGGTTGTTTTCTGAGTCACCATTAGGCAAATAATAGTGTACTTGTTTTGTTATATTTTATATCACAAGTACAGCATGGATCTCTAAGCATCCCTCAGCTCCTTGTTGTGTGTTTGTGTGTGTGTCAGAATGAGCATCATACATTTAGATTTAGATTTTAATTATGGTCTGCCATGAGCTCTCTCAAAGTCAGCAGAAAGAAAATGATCTCAAGGGGAGTGCAGTCTGTTTACTTCACTGGGATTTCAATTAGGATTTTAATTATTTTGCTTGAATGCATATACTTGAATAATAGCTATAATAGAGCTTTCCAGCTCCACTTCTAGTATGTATTGGCCATAAAATGCCTAATGGATTTCACACACCTACCACATTTCTCATCACAGAAATACAAATTCTAAACAGAAGATAACTCCAAACACACCTTGAAGTTAAACTGTTCAAACAACAGCACTTAGGGCTTTTCCATTACATTGTATCTTTAAATAATATTGTGTATTTATTTAATTGTATAGGTACCATATCCTGGACAAATCCTATAATGTTCAATACTGCATGGCTTTTTTGCTTCTGTAGAAAGGATATATTTTTTTTTAATTTCTGTTAGGATGAATATATTGAAATCATTATTGCAGAATTTTTTAGTATTAATTAGGATTACTTTGTAATTTGGGACAGAGTCAGTACTTTCCTCAAGTCAAAAAGTAAAACGAGGAAAAGTTGTATCCCTGAGATATGTCTGTACATCTGTATTGCTTCATATATGTTCTATAAACATTATGTATATAAACATATATACTATATGCTTATATAGTATGTAAAGGTACATATATATCTAAGGACGTTAAAATTAAATGATGGAGAAAAACACACAGCTTGCCCTGTGTACTATATTACAGGAGTATTCGTGGCTCAAAAATTATGTGAAATATGATGGAAAATGTCATGCCCTCTTGGTCATGTTTTTTGGCTCATTTATGTTACATTTATGGGAACAGGCTTATCAACTCTAAACCCATCTGGCTCTAGCAGAGGAAAAGAAAGAAAAAGCAGGAAGTCCATTTTTGGCAACAATCCTGGTAGACTGAGCCCTGGGGAGTCAGCTACTCTTGCCAAAGCATCTGGAAAAGGTAAAGTTAGCATCTTTCAGCAGTCACGTGAAATGGCTGTACCAGACCAAGTTGTTAAAGATCAAATACTTAACAATGTGTGAGATACTGAACTTTGGAGTGGTTTTTTGTTATTGCAGCAGCTATGACAGTAACACTGTTACAAAAAGTGTTGAGTGCAAAGTAGTGGAATGTGAGAACAGAAAAATAAAGACCCTAATTTATAAGCAATTCAAAATCAACACACTTTTTAAGTGAAATGTCTTAAAGTTTATATTCTAGAAGATACAAATTAATATATTTTTAAGTTCAAATAGAAGGCAGAACTATTATGCTGGATCCTGAAAAGGAGTTTTAGTGTCTGTAGTAAGACTTCATTGTCAAAATACAGCCAAATCCTAATGTGTGATGGCACAAACTCCTGAGTTACACCTTGAAAATACTTTGACTCCACAGGAGCTTCAATTTGTGAAGTTGGGAATTGTACTCTTGCATGTGAGCAGATGTAAAGAAATACAAAGGAAAGTACAGAAAAAGCCCTGGAGCAGGGATGATTCCAGATCCCTGCCTTTAAGTACAGTGCTGTTGACAGAAAGTTGTACCCTTTCTTGCACTCATTTTCTGACTCTTGCTATTCTTCCAGCGCAAATGCCTTGCTGAGCAAACACAGTTAGTTCCCTCCCAGAGGCTGGTGATCAAAAAATGAAGAACTCCAGTGTCCAATTCTTAAGTATTTTGCTGCATTTGTCCCCTAACTCTTATGGCACTCTGTAGACTGCCTGTTCAGAGACTAAGCAGATAGCTTTCAATCTTGCCTCTCTTCCTAATGTAAAATGTATGAATGAGAAGAATGGCACAGTGTATCCCAGAAGGCCCTACAGCTGGGTGAGTATGTGAGAGTTTGTGATGCAAATCTATAGATACCAACACTACAGCCATGAGTTTGGACTTTAGTACCCTAAGTACTAAATCACAGTATCATTTCAGCACTTAAACGTTATGTTTCTTCTCATGAAGCATTCTTACTCTATAAGGAATTTGATGTTTATACTGAATGGTATAATTTTCCAGGATCATCTTTTTTCTAACCATGGTACAGACACATGATTCACTAGAAAACACTGGATTCTTGGAGTCTCTGGATCTGCAGCCATGACTTGAGGGTACTGTTTGCTTTCCAGGTCCTTTTGATGTGATGCGGCAGACGTGGGAAGACCCTTCCTCTCCTTACAACTCTCCAGCTTCTCTCAGTGCTATTATAAGGACGCCCAAGTGCTACCACATCTCCTCCCTGAACGAGAACGCTGCCAAGCGGCTGTGCCGGCGGTACTCCCAGAAGCTGATCCAGCACACCACCTGCCAGCTCCTGCGGACGTACCCTGCTGCCACACGCATCGACTCCTCCAATCCCCATCCACTCATCTTCTGGCTCCATGGCGTGCAACTCGTGGCTCTTAACTACCAGACAGACGGTATGAGTCAGGAATACGCAATTCTATGATTCTGTGATTCTAATTTTTATGCATTTTACACATGAATTAAGTCCTTAAACTATGAAATAGCATTTGACCTGATTGACAGTGGCAATCTAATTTTTAAGAGCAGCAATCCTTGGATTTAGGAGCTTCTATGCCGATGCAGGCAGATCTGTCTTCCAATGCCACAGAAGCGCCTGGCCCAGCAACAACTTCAGGCGTCTGTTATCTTCTGTAATTTCAAGTATAAAAATGTACTGAACTGTTTCTAGTAGAAGTGCTGGTTGCTAGTTAATTGTTGCTCAAACTTTTTTTTTTCTCTACTATATTGTATTCCCTCACCTTTTCAAAGGAGGGATCATCAGCTAAACAGCTGATGCTTTTTCATTCTACAGTTCATGGCAGTTATCTAGACACTTCTCACAGAATATATATGCAGGTCCTACAGTTGGATGAAGACATTAGAAAAAGAAAGAAGAGAATGAACTAATAGTTTTGTATAATTGAGTACTGGATAAATCGGGTACATAAACTATGGCTTTCTCTGAAAACCAATCCTGAATTGATTGTACAGAACTAAAATTCAAAACCAGATACTTAAAGCATGTCATTGTCTTGCCGTTCTTTTTTCTACTGTACCACAGCTTTTTCTCAGTGCTGGCTGCCTTACTTTCACAGATCTTCCCCTGCAACTCAATGCAGCAATGTTTGAGGCGAATGGTGGCTGTGGATATGTTCTGAAACCTCCTGTTCTATGGGATAAGAATTGCTCAATGTACCAGCAGTTTTGTCCATTAGAAAGAGATCTTGATAATAAGGAACCAGCTATATATTCTTTAACAGTAAGTACATTAAAAGAGAATTTTATGCAGCTGGATAGACTGAAATAGGCAATGTTTGACTGCACTCTTAAGCCAGCATTAGTCAGGCTTTTGTGTGAACATTTAATTATTGTATCTATTTCTGAAGGATAATTAACTAAAAGAAATCGGAAAGAGAAGAATCAAACGGTCATCTTCATTTCATTGACTGCTTTGTAACCTTAGTTGCTTTCTCTGTTTTCTTCACAACCTTTGTCAAAATCCAGTCTTGAAAACATCTTTTCTGCCACTGCACAGCTGTGTGTACTTACATATAGGGCCAGGATGTTTCAGGTCTGTGAACATGTGAGAGGCTACACAAAAAGTCATTATGAAAAACCATACTGAATATTTGAACAGTTATTTTCAAATAAGTCATATAATCAGATGTATTATTCTTGGATTGGTGGCAAAAAATGGTATTCCCTTCAGGAAATGTTGCATAAAACTCAGGTTCATAAGAACCAAAGGACTCTCAGCCAAGGTGAATGCAAACCTAATGCTTCTGTTGTGTGCATCAAAGCAAGGCAGAGGTCAGTGCCATCACTGCAGAGTAACTGAGAAGAAAATTTGATCCCTTTTGACTGTGTTACTGGGACATTCCTTCTGGATTAACTTTCAAATGCCTCGAGTGGTTGCACTCATGATATGCAGTATATTTTTTTCAGAGGAAAGATATTGTAGCAATGGCATGTGGGGTTTAAGCAGTGCTGAAGTTAGAGCCCTGGAAATGAAAAAAGTAGGGGGGCACTGAAATTAAATCCACCGGTTAGGAAACCACACTTGGGGCTGTGATGGAAAACAATGTTTAGCTCAAAATTGTGGCAGAAAAGAATGACTGCTAATTCACACATCTGTACTCCTCGGCTTCAGATCGTGTCTGGGCAGAACGTGTGCCCCAGCAACAGTACAGGAAGTCCCTGCATTGAAATCGATGTGCTCGGGATGCCCCTGGACAGCTGCCATTTCCGGACCAAACCCATTCATCGCAACACACTCAACCCAATGTGGAACGAGCAGTTTCTTTTCCGGGTTCATTTTGAAGATTTGGTCTTTCTTCGGTTTGCAGTTGTTGAAAATAACAGTTCAGCTATAACGGCTCAGAGAATCATTCCACTGAAAGCTCTGAAAAGAGGTAAAATGGTCTGTAGTAACATCCTATGCCAAAATCGTTCATCGGATTCCTGGACTGAATCCTGCTGGAGGGATATTTTTAATCAGCTGGTTGCGTTCTTTGGGAGGAGACAGGGAACAAATACCAGGCAGCATGCTTTACCCCAGCAGTGGGATGCTGGTCTGATGCTCCCGTGGAGCTGGCAGCTGCCCCAGGGGCTTGACTCAGCTCAGGACTTGCTGCTCCCTTAGGAAGACCAGAATGGTTTCTCTCCATTGTTTGCCCTCTGCCAAAGAAACTGCTCTAACTAGTGATCACTGGGGCAGAGGTGAATCCTCAGCACTGTCCATAGGAGATATGAAATAAAGGTGAACAAAGGCGAGTGAAAATCTAAGCAGCACTAGTAATTCTGTGACACCTGGGCAGGGAGTTTCCATGATGCCAACAGCTCTTCAGCAGGATGGTAGACATAGTTCTGAGTTTACTTCATGCCTCTGTAATACAACAGGACAGTCTTAGCATAGGAGGATATGTGGCCACAAATATATACACATTTCCCTGTGAGACTGTCTTTGCTTCATTCATATGCTAATATTTATTAGCTTTTTCATGTATGAATAGATTGAACATTACAGCAGTGTAAGGGTAGACAGCTATATTTGTCATTCAAACTTCACAGCATTTGGATTACACTGTTTTGCAGACAAGAGTATCAATGCAGTATTTTTCCAGTGCTTTAAATTCTGTAGATAAAGCAAATATTAGATAAAAATGCAGCAAATCTGAGTTTTCAGTTTGTGAGACTTTTGTCCTACAGTGTGGTAAAGTACTTAGGAAAAGCTGTTTTCTCTTTAGGCTATAGACATGTCCAGCTCCATAACCTGCACAATGAGGCACTGGAAATCTCTAGTTTGTTCGTAAACAGTCGGAGGATGGAAGAAAGTCCCTCTGGAAATACTGTGCCCGCATCTATAGTAAGTTAATTATTTTTTGTGAATGCTATGTATTTTTATCTTAATGTCTGCTATGGTCTTGAGACTTCTACGAACAGATGCTCAAAGATATTTGACCTAAACCTGCACATTTTTTTAGAAGTACCCCAATGGATAATTCTTCTGGGTGACAGTGGAATTAAGTAGGGTTATCCCACTGGAACTGTGGGAGGATAAAGCTTTATTTATTTATTTATTTTAAATTCTTTGTTCTGTAATGTAAAAGCCATGCCTTAGCTGGATAGCTTTGCTTGGTTGAGTTCTTTACAACTTGTCTACGTTTTAATGCAACCTAAAGCATTCAGTAACATATTCTCTTAACAGTTGTTTAGTTCAGGTGAAAGGAAAGCCTCTGTGCCTTACAAAGTGACAATCCATGGAATTCCAGGCCCGGAGCCCTTCACTGTTTTTAACATCAGTGGAGGGACCACGGCTGCACAGCTTCTCCATCAGGTGAGTGCCCACTGCTCTGTAGACTCTGCTGCATCAACTCACACTGACTTCATTCCAGGCGTTTGTCTCCATTAATTTTTTGCATGCGGAAGCAATACAGCAAGGAGTTGCTTTACAAATGTATTGTTGTGGAATTAATTGCATTGGAAATACAGAAATACCTGTGATTATTATTTTTTTTTTTTCTCCAAATCTTGGCTTCTTCTCTTCTTGGAAAGGGTTTTTAAACTTAGAACATACTCCCTATTAGTACTGTAATATTTGGGCATCTGAGAAGAACAGTCTGTGCGACCGACAGCCAGAGGGCTGTCTTTAGAACAAGACAAACTTCGCTGCACAACTCCTTGGATCTGAGCAGCACAGGAATAGAGAGTAAAAGGCTATGTTTGTGAGGAGAAAAAGCAGTAAGCAGGGCTGTTATCCCAGCAGTGGGAAAGGACCCTGCTGTCCTGGGATGCTGCATTTGTTGTCTGGCCTGCCCAACAGGACAGAGATAAGCCAAAACAGGATGGCCTTGCCTGGAATAGCTGAGCTACCTGGCAGGCCTAAGAGAACAGTGCATTACCCTGGCATGAAATAACTGCATAAGGAAGAATAAATTGGAAATCATGCCCACACTATCAGAATAGTTACTGATTCTTAAAGTTTCTTCATTCATACTCATTTATAGTTACTAATTATGCAGTGTTTATATTTAGCACTCTAACTGCTGTGTGTTTATTGCGGTGTGTCTCAGATCTTGGAGACCACAAAAGGCACCGAGTCCTGTGCTTCAGACTATTTTCTGATGGAAGAGAAAAGTTTTTTATCTAAAGAAAAGAGTGAATGCAGAAAACCACCATTCCAGAGAGTAATTGGTCCTGAAGAAGGGCTTGTGCAGCTCTTGAACAGTTGGTTCCCAGAAGAAGGATATGTTGGAAGAATCATCTTTAAAACCCGAGAGGAAGTAAGTCTGTTTTAGATAAACTGTTATTTACAAAGGTAACCAAAAATAGCCTAGGAGCAGGAAACAAAAGGATGCAGTATTTGTTTCACTACTTGGCAAGCAGTGTCACTGAAAATGAAGCAGAGCTCTGCACAAGCACAATGAGACTTCATGCACCTGTCAGTATGTACACCTATGCAGCCCTAATAGCAGCTCTGTGACTCAGAACTCCTCTACTGTTTTCACTGATTATGGTTCTAATTTAATGTACGTTGAGATTTTGACATGATAGGAAATGAATATAAAGAAAGACAGTTAATACCAAAGGATGGTAGGCAACAGAACTCCAGGCTACAATTACCAATCAGTTTATGTATCAGCAGCTTTTTTTGTTGTTGTTCTGAAAACTAGAAAGGATTTTACTTCTAAAGATCTTTAAAAACCTTGAAGGATGATGAAATTTTCAATGGTAGCCTAAAATAATGAGATTCTTCATGTCTTTGAATTTAAAGTAGGAAGGTGCAGTGATTTCCTTAGTTTAAACAATGGGCATGGATGGCAGTGTTTTATATTACACAAGTTAGTATTTTGTTTTAGTTTGTTTCTAATATTTGGAGCCAAGACAATAAGTAGAAGTTTGTGCAATTAGCAGCCTACTTCATTCAGCTGACTGCAGCACTTTGTGAGCACGTGCAACTACAAACATGTCACTGCTGAGCTGCATTCCTTCAGAAAACATAGTTGAAAATCTGACTTAGTATGGATGGAAGCAATGCTGTGGGTTTGGGTTTGCCATGCAATGTTCTGTGGAGCACAGCATGAGCTGTAAATGGAAAGGTATTAAAGATGCACTGATTTTAGAAACACGGGTGTATACGTTCTAAGCAATATTGGCTTGTCAAAACTATATGTAGCAGTTGCCTTTAATGAAATAGGACCACAAGAGTGCCTGATTTTCAAGTGATGAAAACTTTCTCTGACCACCACTTTGAGTTACGCTCTGCAGTAGCTGAATCTGGCCCTCTTTTTTTTTCAGAATTTAAATGAGAGAAACGTCTTTCAAGAAGCAAAGGAAGATGCAGCCATCACCTCGGAGGATGACAGTTTCTTCGTTCAGGTACACGATGTCTCCCCCGAGCAGCCACGCACTGTCATCAAGGCACCACGCTTCAGCACCGCGCAGGATGTCATACAGCAGGTGAGCCGTGCATGCTTCCACATGTGGGTCTGTAAGGTGTAGGGTGGAGGCTGCTTTTACACAGGGTAGGTGAGCTGTGTGCTCAGCTGAGGGATCTGCCTGGTAACCTGAATCTAAAGTAATGCCTTCTTTTTGGCCTTCTTTTTTTGCTCTTCAACAGACTCTTTGCAAAGCCAAGTATTCCTACAGCATTCTGAGCAATCCAAATCCAAGCGACTATGTCCTCCTCGAAGAGGTGACAAAAGAGCCAACAAACAAGAAGTCCTCAACATCTAAACCATCTCAGAGGATTCTCTCCGATCAAGAGTGTGTGTTTCAGGCCCAAAGCAAGTGGAAGGGAGCTGGAAAATTTATTCTTAAACTCAAAGAACAGGTTCAGGTAAAGGAGGGAACACTTTGCTGTTGGTTTTGTAGATGGTGCATGATGAGCTGACTGGAAACATACTGAATGGTCGAGTGAGACTTTGAATGATTTTGTTTCTTGACACCTTGTTTCCAGACCTTGTCAGCTCTGTAGTCTGTAGGTTTGAAGGGGTTTTTGTGTTGCTTGTTTTTTCAAACTAACTGCACTGCTACAAGACATCTGGCTGCAAAAAAGCCAAGGTAAGAGATGCTGCATTTAAAAATGCAAACTTCTTTTTTTTAGCCTGAATATAGTATGTTTTTTTTATAAAGCAGAGCTACGCTTTCAGGGCCAAGCTGCCAGCTCCTGTAGGTCCAGGTGAAAAGGTTACAGCAAAAAGTGACTCCTGTTCTCAACTCCCCCATCCTTTGCAAAATGACATCAGTTACATTCTGCAACGTGATTCTCACAGCTTGCAAGTCCCCTGACAGCCTTGCTACAGCTTTCTCATTCTGAAATCTGGCTGCACATGCCCTGCTCCCCATAGCACTAAGACAGACAGGGCTGTTCCAAGGAACAGCACTTGAACGCTACTGGAATAAAAAGTCTCCTTTATTCCTGTCCAGTTAAAAAATATTTCTGTTGCTTTGCCGCAGGCTTGGGAAAATGGAAGGACTGAAGTACTGTTCTGCTGGGAGAAGGAACAGCATTCTCCTTTCCAGCAGATGCCAACAATCCATGGCTGTTGCCGCCTTAAAGTAACTGTGTCAAAAGCATCAATTTTATAAAAGTTTATCCCAAATATGCTATACATAATCTTTGAAAATATGTACTTTTCAGCCAGTCTAGTCTGAACAACCATAAGAATGCAGTTATTTTGAAAGCATAGCTTCACTAAGTTTTAAAGGGGACACGTGTTTAGAAAAATGTTGGATGTTTTCATATTAAATTCTGTATTCTACAGCTAAACAACCTGTTAAACCATTTCTGTGATCTGTTCTGTTTTACAGGCAGCACGAGATGACAAAAGAAAAGGCATTTCCTTTACCAGTGAGCTCAAAAAGCTGACCAAGTCAAGTAAGCAGTACCGAGGCTTCATTTCACCACCCCTGCAAGTCCTGCCTGATAGCCCACAAAATAAGGATGACAGGCCCATGTGCAGCTTGACTTTTAGTGACGTTATGGAATAGTCACCACCAGTGCTTCCAGTACAGTCTGTGCAGGTATGAGGTACCATGGCTCAGCATTAGAGTCAATTTAGTACATAAGTTACACAGTATCTTTTCACCGCTAGTGTTGGTAAACCATAGTAAGGGACTGACAGATCCATAAAAGCCTTAAACATAGTTGTGCATAGCTGCAGAAAGATCAGTGAGATCTCCAGTTATTTATTAGGGCGTTACTGCAATGAATCAGAATGCTGTAGAGTTTCACTCACCTTCTTTTACCCATTTATGAAACAAAAGCAGAATGCTGCATACTGGTAGATTTTATAGTATGCATGCTAGTTGAGTAATTGCTCCACTGTCACTGTCCTGTTATAGCCTTCTGCTGTGGGCCTGAGTAAACAAGGCACCCAGTAGAGCTTTCGTTACTAGACGTTACAATGCATGCACGTAATAAAATCATTGGGATTGATGATCTCCTTTTTAGCAAAAACAACTTTATAGAGGCACTGTCACTCTCTGCAAAATTTTTGCCAGAAATGTTTAAACATTTTTACTGTCTTTTCTGTAGCTCTTCAATTTCTCCTTGCTTGATTTAAAGTAACAACTGAAACGCACCAGCGTACCGTTTATATAAAGGACAGTCCATCTAACTGCCCACTCATTTACACTACACAGACATTTGCATAGTGCTACTACAGCACTGAGCTGTCATCTGAGAAAGCTCACTGTAAACGAAGAATAAATCTTTTCAGCGTTGGTAATCCCATTTCACATACAGTGAATTTAAGGAGATTGCAATTCCTTTTCGCTTACTACACTATTAAAGCATTATTTGACACGTAATATCACATCATTGCTAAAGCACTGTACTAACAAGCAGAATTCAAACAATATCATCATTTGCAAAATATTTGAGATCTGAACAAACACATGGGATGTCTTCTTTCTAGGCGACGAAGGCAACACTAAATCACCAACAGAATTCAAGCGCAACAAAGTAGATTGTGGAAAAATCCCAGTCACATTCCCTCCTCTCCAGCATTTGTTCTTTCATTTATTCTGCAAACTGGAATTTACAACACTGAACCCTTCTCCAGTGCCCTTGAAGGAATCTGCTGAGGTCTGAACTGGTCGGCAATTGTTTGGTCTGTGCTTTTAATGCTTAACCAGGCAGTGATGCTGGATTAACATTCAGAATCTGGGAATGCTACATGGGATGGCAGATTGGAGAGCTGCCTGTCAGCTCCCCGCTATCTTCACTTGTGCAAAGTCTTGACAGGCAGATGAAGAATTTTTCTTGGACTGTATGTTGTAAACAAACATATTACCACCCTGTCTCCTTTTTAAACAAAAGATTTTAGCTAATTGCCTTAAGGGAAACCAAAGGCAGAGAACCAGAGTGTTCTTTTATGTGTATTATATTAAAATAATGCACTTTTACATAAAGATTCCTGTTGAACACTGTGTTTAGTGACTGTAAAGAGATTTAAATATACTGTAACTTCCTTGGCTTATCAGTTTAACTTTGGTGAATATACACAAATTGCTCAAGTTATTTATGGTTTATCTGCTTTAACAAAATATTGTACAGTAGTTAAATACACCTAACTGGTAGTGATACTTTGACAAAGAACAACATTATCATCTTATAAAGTCTAGTTTTCCAGGCTTGCGTTTAAAGAGAGAATATTTATTATCATGTCCCAAAGTATGTGTCATTGTGTAATATATTTATCATACATTACTTTTTAGAAACTATAGAATTTTCACCTCCCTCTGGATTTAGAGGAAAAAAATGTTTGAACTTTCCTGCTTGTTTCTTTTCAGCACAAGAAGTCTGATACCCCAAACTGACCAAACTCAGAGTACTGAAAAACATAATTAACACTTCAGCATTGTATGAAAATGCCTACAGTTGTTTTTTTTTACTTACTATTTAAACCCAGAGAGCATAAACACTCTTACACTACCACGCTTGACACTTCGTTTACATAGAAACGCTGTCAAAGTCTGATGTTTGCTGAATTCATCTTTTGATATTTAAGATATTATGGTTGCCTCTTTTTTTACTCCATGGAAGTTATTAATTTTTTTAGTTAATTAATCTATATATACCAACTTACGAGGGAACAAATAAAACAATTGCTGAAACCACCCATCCCTTCCATTTCCCATACAAAGTATACCTTTGGTGATTAAGTATTTGGCCCTGCACACATTTGCGCTCCCTGGAGCACTCCCTGAACCACACATTGTTAGCTGTCTGACTCCAGTGAGAATCCATGCTATAGGGATTGATTCTTGCGGTCACAGCCTGCATGCTGACTTTAGCACTTAAAGACAAACTGCTGCTGCTCCTAAGAGAGTCTGCATCAGGCAAAGAATAGAATAGCACTGCAGCTGCAACAAGGATGTGCACTTTTGGTAGCGTAAGGATGAAAGGAAAGGAAGGTTCCCTATCTGCAGATGGTAGACGTCCTTCCTCTCCCAGTAATTACAGAATAAACCAAAAGAAAGCCAACTCATGCTCTGATATATAAATAAGCAGGTAGAAGCTACATTTTCCCACCAGTTTCTTTTACAATGCACTACTGAGAATTCCTGTCTGACAGATGCTAACAAGGCAAAACGTGCCCCCTTGAGGTCATTTCCAACTATCAGGAAAAATAACCACGGACCTGGTCACATATCCCTCGCTCCCAGTGCTTATCTTTAGTACTAAGACAGAAAAACTGTTTTCTTAGCATAATTAATTTGATATGGAATACTTCGGAATTATTGGGAAATGCATCAACCCACCGCACAATTCGACTAATGCAGCAGGTTCTTAAATGCTAGCCTTTTTCTGTTATTTTAGCACAGTGGCAGTTTCATATCACTAACTTTTTTCTTGCAGTGCTTTGGGTATTTTTAGAAATAAGAATTATTATCCTATAGAGTTTATCCTTAACTATTTGACTTCTTTAAAAAAAATATTCAGCAGTACTGAAAACAGAATCCTTAATATCACTCTTAGCACCACGCTTGCTCCAACATACAAAACCCTTACATGCATTTCATCAGCCAGTAATAGTTTTCTTTCACATAGATTTAAACTAAAAAAAGAAATCTTGAGAAATTCAGGGGCAACAGCAGCAGTGTCACAAGGTGTAATGCAGCTCCACCACTGGCACAAAGTCTAGTGGAACTTAGGAATAGCAGTTAAGTACTTTTTCTGCTAATACAATAACTCTCCAGTTGTTGGAAAAGTTGATTAATTTAAGTATCTTCCTCATCGGCCAAGGTCTAAAACTGCTTTCTCTGCTGTTTGTCACAGTAAAACAGAACAGGGAAATATTTATCTAGAATTTTGTCAGGCTAATTATAATGTTCCAGTACTTTCATTAATGCACAAATATCACAACCTCAAGTTACAGAAAGGTTCTGGCTGGTGCCAAGTGTCAGAGTGAGGGGTTTTTTTTTTGCAAGTGAAATGCAGTTCCCTTTTGGTGCAGATGGAAAGCAAGAGATTTCCCTTCCACTTGTGTTCATTCCAAATATCCCACTAATGAAAATTTGCCACCCCTTAAAGCATTAAAGAGGTTTGGGGTTTTGTTAGGTTTTAAGAAATCTCAGATAAATGCATTTCATGTGAAAAAAAAAGTTTCAATTCTACCAGGAAAATTTATTTTACTTATCCACAGATGATTTTCTTTCTGCAGGAATACTTGCCCACACATTCCTCTGATAAAACACCTTTGTCCCTTTCTGTGCTTTTGGCTGGGTACGGACTTCAATTAGGAAAATACATTCATTTTCACATTACAAACTATTTACAGGAAACAGCTTCCAGGATAAAGTCTGAAAGAAAGGAATGTAAATAAGCAACACCTTCCAGAAAAAAGCACTGAGTGGTAGCAGGCCCCGTTCTGATGAGTTTACAGGTAAAACCCTTGTGCTCAGTTGCCTCTTGGCCATATGGGAGTATTTTATTCAATTTTTTTTTTTAAAACCACTGTACTTTTATACCAACATCTTTTTGTGAATCTTTCTTTATGATTTTCCTCACAAAGCATTTGCTGTTTGCAGTGCTGTGAGTATATGGGACAACACTTGGGCTGCCAGGGATTCCGGGCTTGTTCCACTACTGCTCAGTTTTCAGGAGCTGGGGCACACTGGGGGGGAATTCCTATGGGCTGAAGGGTTTCCTGTTTATATCTTACTCATCCAACTTAAACGAAGCAGCAAAATACTGTACAATTTTTATATAGTACAGTTACAATTTTTAAATCCTAATCACCTATTTTTATTGATACTAAAGAGTTTTGCTAGATGAAGGAACTCAATAGCCATCTTTTCAAAGTGGTCTGCTTCCAGAAATCATATGCTTCTAGGAATTAATTAAAGACTTCAACTAGTAATCTATAGGAACGTGTTCCTGAAATATTCAGGAAATATTTGTCTCTAAAAAAATAACTTGCTGGTAGCTTTCCAGTTCAGTGAAAGGCTGAGTCTGCAGCTTCTGAAACAGAACTCTCTGCCTTCTGCTCTTGCTCTCTGAATGCTGCTAAGCTTCACTAATGTTTGTTTGTTAATCGCTGGCTCCTAGTAGACTGCTACAAAACTCAGTTTACTTTTGGGGTATCCCACTAAATGTAACAATGGTGGAGTTTTTTCACTATGTAATAAATATTTTGTAACTGCAATAGTGATAGGCATTTGACAGGGTTAGCAAATTAAACACAAAAACAAATAACAATGAATAGATTTTGCTCCAGTACTTGCATAGAGTATTTCAGAAAGACTTGTTAGCTCCACACTCACCTTCCTCTGCCTCCTAACGCATGTCATGGCATTCTGACAGTGCGGAGTCACCACGTGCCAGTCATTAGATTGTTTGGAAACTATGTAAAATGAACAATTCTAAAAGCAACTTTCCACCTAGGCTATTTCCTCCTTGCTGACTTGAAGAATAAACTTGTATTTGTATATGTTGTAAAAAATAAATGGTTTAAGATGTTGACTCTTTCCTTTTGCCTTCCTGAACTGACAAAGGCTGATGGCACCCTTAGAATTCTTTGGAATTTAAGTCACATGCACATTTGCAATCACTTAACAAGTCCTGAAAAGCTATGGGAATGGCAACCTGAGCAGCCAGAAACACACATATTACCAGCAGTATTATGTAGACAGTTTTGTATTCCCAATACAGGAATATATATTTTCTAATCCATTAGTAGATAGATACCCACTGCAAAACTGTGAATTTACATTCAACCACAGAGAACTTGGTCCAACAGTCTAATCAACGTTAAAGCACATATTAAAATAAATTATTATAGAAGGATGTAGGAACCATAAGATAAAGGACAAAATGCCCCACAGAAAAATAAACTTTTTATAATTATTGTAAGGAGGTTGGTGACTTGACCAAAAGCTTTGCAAAACTTATCATATCACATACTAAATATCACAAAATATATTGGCTGCCAGCCTCATCAGCCCACCGCGCTGCCCTATGGAACAGAGTTCTGAATAAAGCAATAATCATCCTTAAGTTCTCCAATATATTTTACCTATTGTTTGTAAAGCCAATATGCAGCTGAAAATGAATTCTGAAACAACCAGGCAGTAGCTGATATTTGGGGAATGGGGAGAAAAATCAAGATTTAAAATTCTTACCTGGAATTTGTCCTGTATTCTTCACAGTGATGGTTTATTGAAGACATTGTAGAGCTGTCAACTATGAGGATAGTTCAGAAATTGAACTCAGTAATCTTAATTTGCTAATAAATACCCTGCTCTTATTCTAAGACAACAAATGCACAGCAAAAGCAAAAATCATCTCAAAATATGATAAAGAGTTTGGAGACATCAGAAGAAGAATTTAAAAACATGAAAAGTAATACATATTCCAAAGCTGGAGGTATCCTGAACATCAAAGACCTCAACACTCTAGTAGTATTTCCAAAATATTTATTCATATATCAATATAACCCAGTGTTTCCTCAGAAACGCATATGTGTATATTCTATTACAAAAATTAGAAGTTATATAAACAAAAATACTATAATGCACTGTTTCAGGCAATTTTAAAATGACCTTGGTTTGTATCTTTTTACATTACTGATGTGACTCTACATTGCAAACCCCAAGCCCTGGGAACACTGGCTAGATGACCTTGTACCTGTGTGAAAAGCTTCTGTTCTGTTTACTGAGTGCTTCTATGTTCAAACAAAAGCCTACTCGCATTCCTTTAATAATGAGTGAAAACTTCTTCCAATCAATCTTTGTCCGTAATTAAGAAGCCATCTGAATACGATTGATAAATTCAATTAGGACAAGGATGACTCTTTTAAGTGTTTAGCAAAATCCAAGGTTTTGTGACTAACAGTCTTGCTCATGTGTTGTTGAAGCTGTTCAGTTAGCTCCTGATTTAGAAGTGAATCCACGTGTGAGAATGTGTCCTGAAAATAACAGAATATTAGTTATATTAATAAACAAGTCCAGTATCTTTAATTAGCAGTCCTGTTTCTCTCCCATGCCCCTGGCCATTTCCTCAACCTGACCTACAGAACCGTCAGCTCACCGAGATCCAACTGCCAGTTTCACTTGGAAGTCACATGTCCAGCATGCCTTAGATGATCATACTTTTGGCGATGATTTTTTTTGCTTTTAACTATTCTTTAGAAGAATACCAACTCTACATACCCACAGCTTCCAGTTCTGAAGGAACATGCATACTGATTCCTGTTCAACACACCTTAAAAAAATAAATTAACCATCTCAGATCCAAGGGCTAGTGAAGCCAATAATGCAAGCAGTTGAGATTGTGAATCTGAGGAAGGAACGCCCTGACCCTGTCTTGAGAAATTCCTTCTGGTTAGAGCCATGCGTGGGGATCTCCACTCCTCCCTAGTGATGAAGGAAGGTCATCTGCGTGATCTGCAGCTGTGTTAAATTTAGTTTTAACACTCACATAGCCAAGTACTTCGTGCACTCAAAGACAAATGAGATCCTCTCTTTAGTGGAGCACAGAAAAAGAAAATTCCAATTCAGAGCTTCTATCAGCGGGGAGAGGTGCTGACAGACCATGGCAGCATAACACACACACTTGCAGGACGCAAACTTAGGTGTTGCCAAAGATTGTTAAATGAGTCAAACAGCCATAGAGTAAGCAACACTGAAGCTAATTTCCCAAGTATTGCCATTATAACCACCAAAGACAGCTCGTTCTCCTATTTCCTTCCTCCTTTGTTTCTGCCTCCTTTACACATTCCCTTATTCAAGGGACCTCTAGGACCAGAGGGAATGGTTTCAAGCTATGGCAGGGGAGATTCAAGCTGGACATGAGGAAGTATGACTTTTCGCAAGGGGTGGTCAGGCACTGGAATGGACTGCCCAGGGAGGTGGTGGAGTCACTGACCCTGGGGGTGTTCAAGGAAAAACTGGATGTTGTGTTGAGGGACATGGTTTAGTGGGAGCTATTGGTAATAGGTGAATGGTTGGACTGGATGATCTTTTAGGTCTTTTCCAACCTTGATGATTCTATGATTCTATGACTCTAAACACTTTCCAATCTCTCTCTTATCTGCTGTTCCCAGCCTCGATCTGTCTGCTAATGTCCCAGAAGGACAGAAACATCAGGCAGTTATTATCTAAGGACAGACTAGCTAAGTAGAAGCTTACTAGCTAAGTACTAGCTAAGCTTTTCAGAAGTTGCTTCTCAAAAATAGAAGAAAAAAATGCTTAGGGCTTTAACAGATATTACTGAGTTAAAAAGTGAAGGTGCTGCCAAGGTTAGTATAATTTTCATTAGGAAGAAAGAGAATTATTTACCACTATTTAAAGGATGCAGCGCTCACTGAACAATTAATGGAGGTTGGCATCTGGAACATACCTAGTGCTCAAGAGCTAGTAAGTGTTCACCTCTTTCTCCTCTTCATACAAAAAGCTCTTTGTTCAAATTTACACTTCAAAGCCATAAACTCTCACTTATGGGGATCAGTGTCCTACATACTGAACCAAAGGCTCTGGGAATTGGCCTATCCTGCCAACTACCAACACTGGGAAAGACAGATGGCTTTTTATTACTGCTTTTTAAACAAATGTTAGTTTATAATTACAGAAACGGATAAGAAATCTGCACTGAACAACTGCAAAGAGCAAAAGTTAAGTAAAACAAATACCACATCCATCTTGCTATGTTAACTGACGCTATGGGAGAGGAAATATTCATACAGCATTTCTTCCTTCTGTTGAAAGTCAGTGCTACCTTACGCCAGTTAAAAAATATTTAACTGAGAAAGTACACAAAGCAGAAAGCCAAACTGAGTGTGCTAATATCTGCACATAGCAAATAAAGCTTAAATTGGTACAGCCCATGGTCAAAAAAGGATTACCTTTCGTCTGGGTGTTACTGATGGAACGGGAGGATTGAAGGTCATTCCTTTCATGTTGTACGCCTCAAAAAGTTCTGTAGCAGGCCTATAGCAAAACCACAGTTTTTGCAGTGAAAGGAAAAATTCATTAGATACCCTTCAACACAATATACTGCCAAAGCAAGAGCAGCTTGTCCCCTAACACCATTCATACCCACCAACGTCTTAAGTGAACGCTTCAGAGTAATGAACATCAACTAGAAAAGACTGTACCTGTGAAATAGGGCTAGTAAAAGCCAGTGATACATGTCTAAATACTCAGCTGGAGAAGAAATGAGAGACAAAAATCCTGCTCTGTTGACCTGCTCTGTTGTTCCAAGCAGTCACTGCCTGACCTGCATTATAACTCCGGCGTTAAAAAAAAAGGTCTAAAGTAAGTAGATGAAGTTATCTAGCCAATGCAATCTAGCTAAATTCCAGCAGGATTCCAAAGTTCCTTACTGCATGGTGTTACTGAAAAAAAAAACCTAAGAAGCCACTGGAGAATGGGTAAGACCATCACATGAAAAAGAATGGTTAAAACACAGCAAACAGTAGACGTGTGTGTGATCAGTTTTTGCAATGTCTGAAAGAAAGTATGAGCTTCCAAAAGGTCTGCGCCAGGCTCCATGGATTTCAACCCACTCAATGTGGAGAAGATGGTGAATACCAAGTCATCTGTGCTACAAGTAAACTGTTGCTGAGAACTGCAGGCAGACTGTAGGACACAGCCAGTAAAATAGCAAATGAAATTCAGCACGGAAAAAAAGAACTAGAGAAAAATAATCTAAGCTTCACACAAAAAACAAACATGTTCTGAGCACTATCCCTAAATAACAAGATCTCCTCACTAAGGGTACTGTCACGGGACTGTGACCTCAATGCTCTGTAGAATTGAAAAGAGATAGAAAAATAATAGAAAGCACTGTTACATCAGTGTGTAATTCACTGATCATCCACATCTCAAATACTGCATCTTTTCCACTTCCTCATCTCAAAATACTTTAAATAAGTTCAAGAGCAGGAAACAAAACATGACGAAACACATGCAATGGCTCCTGTCTGGGCCAGGTCCCATCAGTCAAGAGAAGAGATAGCAGGCAGAGGGACAAAATTAAGGACATCTACAAAGTCACACAGAAACACAGAAAGTGCCTGTTGGAACAGACTGTTCACTTCATCTCCCAGAGCAAGAACCAAGGACCATTAAATGATGCATGCTGGTAGCAGGTTCAAAACAAAAGGTAGCTTCTAACTAATAAGCTGTAGACTTGCAGAACCTGTATCAAGCCATACAGCGTTTTCAAAATTTATACTTTGTTTCAAGAGACTTGGAACACTTCAGAAAAGTCAGAATAAAAGAACAAGTCAGAGGGTAGGTGGTAGCTCAGGCCTTATAAGCTTGCCCCTTTTTGTGCTCTTCCTGGTGCACTTGTTTCCAGCCACTGCTGAAGACAGGTTAGTGAATTAGACACATCCTTAGTGTAAATCAGGATGGCTGTTCTTGTATTTTGATATATTCTGCACCTTGGTTTCCAGCTTCCAGTGGAGAGCTACAGTTCAATGATCATAATCCACAGTCAGAAAAAAAGCAGCAAAAT